TAGTTTCAGGTATTCCATATAGCGAAATAGTTTTAAAAATTTCTTTTAAAGTAATATCGGTCGTAATATTTTTAACAGGAACAATAATTGGAAATTTGCTGTAGGCATCGACTATTATCAACCAATTTCTTGTGAAGAACGGACCCGTATAATCTGTGTGTATCCTTTCAAACGGTTTGGTTGCCGAAACCCATGGTTTTTGTATCTTTTTAGGATTGTCATGATATACGTTATTTTGTCACAACCTTTCACTTCCATTTCTATGTCATTATTTATACCAGATCACCACATGTAATCTTTGGCTAAGGATATGATTTTTCCTGCTCCCAAGTGGCCTTCATGATATGACTGTAGTACATTTTTTTCATAGAAGATGGAATTATGATTCTGTTGTTTTGTAAAGTCAATCCTTAATTATACGTAATTCCGATTCAATGTTTTTATAGATATTGTTCATTATAGGTTTGTTCTTCTTAATATCATTTATGACTTGTTTTAATTCAATATCTTTCAAAGTTTCATCACGAATTTGATTAAAATATATAGGTAAATCCCCATATTCATTTATTATAGTGATATTTTCAACATTTCATCATGACATTCTTGTGGTAATCTCGAGAGACAATCAGGAACAACATTATATTTACCGGCTTTATACTTTATGTTAAAATCCTATCCTCCTAATGTTATATTCCACTTCTGGAGTCTTAAGGACATGTATTATCCTTAAGACCCTTGGTAAAGATGTGAACTAGAGGTTTATGGTCAGTAATAATTGTAAATTTTGTGCCAATTAAGTATTCCTGAACCTCTTTATAGCGAACCTAATAGCGAGAGCCTCACGCTCAATATTGGTATAATTCATTTCGGATTTTAATAAAGTTCTCGACACGAAAGCTATAGGTTTTTCTTTACCATTTTTTTCAGTATGAAATAAAACAGCTCCTAAACTACATTTAGATGCGTCAGTGGCTATCGCTATAGGTAATTCAGGGTTAAAATATTTCAAAGCAGGAGGAAGACTAATCAATTTCTTAAGATCATTAAAACTTTTAGAGTGTTCTAAGTTCCAAGCCCATTTTTCTTTGTTGACGATTTTATAGAGGATCGGCCATTTCTGCAAAATTGTTCAAAAATTTTCTATAGTAGCCTGCCATCCCCAGAAAAATTGATAATTCAGCAGCTGATTTTGGTTCTGGCATATTAATTATTGATTCAATTTTGTCGTTATTAGCATGAATCCCCTTGGCGTCAATATCAGACCCAGGAACCTCACTTTATTTTTAAAGAACGTACTTTTGTTGAAGTTAGGTATTAGCCCAAACGATGATATTCTATCAAACACTTTTTTTATGTTATTAAGGTGGGCTTCATCGTTTTTCCCAGTTATTAGTAAATCATCAATATAAAATATGACGTCATCCATGTCACCGAAGATTTAATCCATGATTTATTGGAAGATTTCAGATGAGGTCTTAAGCCCAAAAGGAAGTCTAGTAAATAGGTAATATCCCTTGTGCGTAGATATAGTTAAAATATTTCTAAAACTTTTATCAATCGGGACCTGTAAGAAAGCATTTTTAAAATCAATCTTCGTAAATATTTTTCCTTCTGAAAGTTTAGCTATTAGATCATTGATTCGTGGTAGAGGGTATCTGAAATCTTCTAGAGCTGGGTTTACAGTGTCCTTAAAATCAGCACAAAACCTAATGCTCCCATCATCTTTGTAGATGGCGGTAATAGGACTTGTCCATCGAACATCATTCATCGGCTCAATAATTTTATCAGGTATCCATTTTTTAAGTTCATTGATTACAAGTTCAATTTTTGAATAAGGAATACGTCTAGGCGGTATAATTCTACGCTATTTGGATTTGCACTCTTTAATCAATTTTTTTATTTCATCTTCGTAATTAGTATCAATATTTGCTGTAAATTTATTTAAAATATTTTTGAAAGCGTTGATCCATGTACGTCCCAAGCCCAAAAAGGCATTTTTTCTTGATTCAACGACTACCGCTTGTAAATATTTTGAGATACCTTCATAAGTGACTTTAACTTGTGTAATGCCGATTATCTTGATTAAATTTACGTCATAAGCGGTAAGTTGTAACTCGGATTTCTTAACATCTCTAATACCAAGTTTTTTAGCCAGACCATGAGGTATAAAAGAATGTTTGGAGCCTGTGTCGACTTGCATACTTGTAACAATATCGTTCACTGAGTAGTCATAAATACATTATCTTTATCATTAAGCATGTCCCCAGATAAGTTGTTAATTAAAATCGTTATCATCTTTGTTCTTTGTAGAGTCGATTTTCTCTTCAATAATCTCTTCAATAATCTCTTCAATATTCATATTGTAATCGTTGTTGTTGTATTTTATTTGCTTTCTCTGACTGTTGTCACTACCTCTATAATTATTTGAATTGTTGTTATAAGATTGGTAATTGTTACGATTTCCGTCACCGTATTGGATCAGTTTTCTTTGATTATTATCATGCCACGTATTATTTCTACCATAATTAGATTGATTATTATTGTTGTAGCGATAGTTGTTGTAGTTATAGTTATTATAATTATCTTGGTACCTAGAATAATTATTACCGTAATTCCTATCATAATATCTAAAATTATTATTATTGTCATAATTCCTATTTTATTATTGTTATTATCTCTATTATCATAATTATTTCTAAAATTATTTCTAAAATTATTATCAGGTCTAAAATAATTATTATTGTCATTTCTATTTCTATTGTTAAGGTTTTTATCTTTATCAGACTTTTTATCGTTATTCATATAACTTATATTATCAATATCTGGTTTATCATTAATACTATCTAATCTAGTTCCTAACTCCACCATTTCATTTAAAGTTAAATTAATATTTTTACAAAATTTATATTTTATTTTGTCATTTAAGGTAGAAGTAAGTAATTTTTCTTTTAAACGATTGTCGTCTGAAAAGTTACATTTTTTATGCAGCTTTGCGTGAGGTTCTCACTCGAATTCTGCTGTAAGTTGTATTTGTTTATTAAAATATTTTTATCTTGTACAGGTAAAAGGTAAGCTAATTACTTAATCACTATCTTAAGATCTAATATATCGGCATCTGAGCAAATTGATTTAATATTATCAAACACATCATCAGATAAATTAAAGTATTTATTTTAATGGAGTCCGGTAATGTGCTGGTCCAAAAATAACTTAACACCCTATCTAGATAAATCTCAGTAAGTGGTCCAATAAGTTTTGGAAATTTATAAAATATGAAATCTGGTTTAGTATCCATTTATTGTTAACTTTTGCAATATTTCATATAAGCATTTAAAATAAAAATGATACGTTATATTTTTATAAATATACACCGGAGTTGTATAAACTCCAAATCATTATAAACATAAAATTTTCCGTTTAGTTGTTCAAAATATCAAATCATCTCTTTGAGACTAAAAATTCAAAGATTTCTTCATCACTATTGGGTTCTCTTGAATATTGTATATCACAATCATAAGTAAATTCATAAAGTATATCATAAATTGACACATCGAAAGGTATATTAATCAATTTGAAGGAAAACATTGTGAAGTTCCATAATCTTAAGGTCGTGAGTTCAATCCTCACCAGGGGCACCATGTAGAACAAGTGAAAATATATTTTTATTATCTTTTTATCTTTTTTATAACATATTTATATCTTTTTTACAAAAGTAATATTTGAATAAATATAAAAAGATTAACTGAAATAAAACTAAAATGAAAATATTATCTTAAAATAAAACTAAAATATACGTTACGACTAAAATAAAGGTTATAATTTGTAAAACTAAAAATATATTATTCAACAATATTTAATTATTATTTGTCAGATATAATAAGAATTAATTTATATAAAAAATGTTCCAGTTCTAGCAAATTTGATTTTTTATAGCTATGTTTTGTATTATAAGACCATTTGATATTATCTTTTTGTCTAATAGTATAAGATTAAGAATAATTTGATTAAGAATAATGTTTCCAAATAGTTCTGTGGATCTCATTTTTTATTTTTACCTTTATTTATTTTTAATCAGGCTTTTTTTATATTTTATAGTAATCCAGAGATTTCTCCCTTTGTACAGATGAATTGTACTTCTAAATTAAAAGTTTGAATCTCTTGAATCCATTATTTGTAACTTTTCATTTTATTTTTTATTTATAAATTTTTATTTCATTATTAATTTATACTTTTATTTTAACAATTTATATATACGTTTTATTTATTATTATTTCTTTTTTTTAAATGTTTTTACGTTTTTCTTTCTTTATTATCATTTATAATTTATCAACTATTAAATCGGTTATTTCTTATTTTTCAATCTATCTTCATTTATAAATTTATTTTAATTACTTTTTTTATATTTTAAATTTATCTTCCCATGAATTTCCAGAATTAAATTAAACATTGTTTGATCGTTCATTTTGTAATTTCGTTAAATTTATTGTCAATTTGTGCCAATTTTATTTTATTAATTTTTCATTTTTATTATAGCTTCATTTTTATTCTATAAGATTTATTTATTATCATAATTCCTCTATTTTCATTTTTGCTTTAGGTTTTCCCTATATTTTCCATTTTAACTCAGATTTTTCGCCACTTTAGCATATGGAGTAATAATATATTGAACTAAATTATATTAGATAATAATTTATGATTAAATTATTGTTCTACAAAAGTTATATAAGTAATAATTAGAATAGAACAAATACATTACAATGATTAGAGAATCTAATTGAGAGGGAGAAAAAATCATTTGTTAATTTTAGCGAAAATTAAATCATTATATGCCAATGGGAGAAAAGTTTCCTATTTTTGGTGGGAAGAAATCTTCAACAATTATATGGAAAATATAATTTTGAAAAAATGGACGTAATATAGCAACATTTGACAACTGACATCTGTCACATATTTACTTTGATAAGTTACTGTAAACTTGTTAATTCTTTTACAATAAGCTTATGATATACATCATTCTTATGGAACATTTAACTGACTATTTTGCCAATTCCACTAGCTTTACAAATAAGATTAATGATATTGATAAATTACATCCTCGATTTGATTTGTACAAGAAAGGGAAGCATACTTTTGATCAAGATGAAAGAAGAAAAATATTCCTTGAAAAGCAAAAAAAGTTAATATTTAATAGATTAATACAGTTAAGATAATATCTTTTAAATAGCTTACATTTTGATTATTTGTCTCATGTGAGATCATTAGCTTCTATTAATTGCAAAAGAAAAATATGTTATACTGATAATTCAACTAATAATTTTTGGAATAAAAATTTAGATAAAAGATATGCCAATCAGGTAAATAGATATTTTATGGGAACTCTTACTAATTACTATTATATTTTAGTTAATGATAGCTGAATGGTTGGTTGAAAAGCCTTCTGATTTTGAAACTAATTGGTTTATGATACCATGTCCAGTTGGTAAAAGATGCATAGTCATATCAGCAAATGTAATTATTAACATATATTTATACTTATTAATTTTTAAATCTATAAAGTTTATCTGATATATTATATTTTTAACCTTATTTTATTTTTGACAAAAGAGACATATAGCTAGTACCCAAAATATGATTTATAATAATAAAGAAGATATCACACCAAATTAATAATGATAATTTTGACAAATAACATAAGATATTTAGCTATGTAAAAATATTGATTTGTATTTACAAATGAATCTTGGTTCCCGATCTGATTTAATTTCTTTTTAGCTAGGTTATGATAATCTGGATGAATCTAAAATATGTTTTAATTACTTTTAACATATTTTTGTATAATGATAATAATTTTAATCTCTTAATAATGATGAAATAATAATGATTTATCGAATGGATGGTTTGTGATAATAATATTTCCAGATGATATTAAAATATGTTTTAAATATATTTAACATATTTTTATATAATGATAATAATTTGATAATGATGAACTAATAGGACTTTATCAAATGGATGGGTTATGATTGATTGATGAAACAGTAATCTATTTTATTTATTATAATTATAAAAAATATCTATAAGGATTAAGGTCTGACTGGCTTTATGAAAATGATCAAATTTTAAAACCACTTATATATTTTAATCTACTTGATAATATTTTAAATAGCTATAAAATCACGTTTTTAAATTATTTATAATTGTTTGAATTTCTTTTGCAATTAGGAAATAACCATACATTATCAATCATCTATATATTTATCAGACCTGCAGGCCTGGCCCTAAGCCTGGCTTGTGTTTACGGGATGGACCGTATTTTAATTTTTTTTTACCAGGGCTTGGCCTAATATTTTTTTTTAAAAAATATTTGGACTGGGCCATATATTTTAAAACCCACCATTATTAGTGATAAAAATTAAAAATAAATGTAATATATTTTTAAAAAATACAGGTCTGATCTTAAAGCATATAGTACCTCTCCAGGTGTCTGATATTTATACTTGAGATCAGTCATAACTGGCTTGCTAAGATTTTATGGCTGACTTGTTAAAACTCCTTTAAAAAATATGCAACCATTATCAGCTTATATTGGCACTATGAGCAAATTTTCCCCTTGCCATAACACTGCCAATCTGGTTGAGCTATACTGCCAATCTGGCCTCTGATTTTTCCTATAGTGGCAATGCATGGCGTATAAATTTTCAAATATGTTCAGAAAATTACATAATATATTATATTTATCTTTAAATCAAATGTTAAAATTTATAATATTTAATTATATACAACATTTATTCACATGATATATTGAAATATTATATGAGCATACACTATTATTTTAATTATTTTTAAATGGATAATCCTCTATATATTTATGAAATCACAACTACACAATAAGACCAAAGCCCTGATGCTTGAATATACTTTGAGAACTTATCACTAAATTATCTTTAGTAGCGTCCCTGTTAAAAATAACTTAAAGAGATGGAATCTAGTTAAAAACAATTTATTTTCTCTATAATTTGTTTATATATATTTAAAATAATTTTTTACAAATATGATGCAGGCCCTAATGTTAGATAGATTTTAGATTAGTATATTCTAAGTATCATCTATGCCTAGGGTATGATTTCCATAATTTAAACTCTAGTTTGTTTACATAAATTTATCCTAACAATTTTATAAGAAAATTAGGAAATTATATCAGAACCCAGATATCAGCTGAACACTTTATGTTCATGCAATCATTCCCTATTGCCAAAATTTTAGTTATTGAAGATTTTGCAAAATGAGCAGATATTCATCACAACAAACTAATTACAATACTACAGATCAATTTTACATCCTGCTTGTTGACACATATTTATTATTTAAATAATTTTGCTGAAATAAAGTCAATTAACCTATGTGCTAGATAAAATAGAAAAACAATTCTTGAATTTTTTCATTACGATCGGTACTTACTTGAACTACATAGAACATTAAATTTAAGAATTTGATAGCATTTTTTTCCATACAAATGGATCTGTCACAAATTTAGGCCTCCTATTTCAAAGCAAAATAGATAATGCTCAAATAAAATTACTTGATATTTCTGATATTATTACCCTCAAAAAATAAAAAAGCTTAGTCAATATTTTCTATTACAGAATCATACTTCAGATAGTGTATATTTGACTTTATTTTTCTACATATTGTTACCAAGTTTGTTAATAACGAATGCTGATTTTTAAACAATTCCAAACCCTAACTATTTAGCACAATCTAGATCCAAGATTTTAAAAGTGGAAAATTATTTAAGATTATTTTAATTTCAACATCTATAAACTCCACATGAATACAAATCATAGCTCGAGATATGCTTATTACTGAGATTAAACTTTTACTTTCTCCTTATTCATTATTTTAAAAAAAATGAGCTGAAAAACCATTTTTTATTAAATGAAAATTGTTTTGATGATGCTAAAATAATCCACAAAGATGATGCTCTATTGAGGGGGGGGGGCTCCCAAAATTAACAAATTAAATTAGTTTTATATCAGAAACCAACATGCCTCATTATGAATATTTTATTGCTGGTTTAGTTAAATTCTAAAATACTTGTTAAAAGTGTCGATGACAATTACAATCAAACCAAACAAGACTTTATTTATATATAATATCAGTCATCATATTTTGTTTATTTTTTTTGAAAACATTTACCTGAGTATATAAAAATATAACTTACTAATTGTTATAATAATTTACTAATTGTTATAATAATTTACTAATTGTTATAATAATATAATGTACCACGCGTCGACGTCGTTTCTGTAGATGGTGGCGAAATTAGCACACCCTCGAACCCTTATAATTTTCATACATAAAAACCACTGCTGATCGCTACTAGTGGCCTGTAATAGACAAATTCTTTCGCCGACTTATAGGAAGAAACGCATTTTCCCAACCTAACTCAAACATAAAACTTAATTTCTTATGCCAAATTTTATCGGAAAATCTAAGTATTAAAAAAATGGTTTTTGTAGACCTCTGCTAGCTCCGGCTATTGTGGATATAATATGAAAAATTATAGTTAATCAATAAAAATTTGATTATAATTCAACTGAAGGATTATAAATTTAACAGTACATTGTGAACATGTTTTAAGAACTGATCTTTTCATATAACCGCCAAGTATAGTCTAGATAACTAGAGCTCAAGATCTAAATCTTTGGAGCGAGCAGGCATTTTGTATGGAACATAAATTTCAAATTATGAGGTATAATAAGAATTATTATGATAAAGAACATATTTATAATTTTTGACCCATTATAGTAGACGCATCGTTGGGGAAGGAAGCATTCTCATTTTCCATTTATATCTAAAAATTATTTCATGTAGCTCGAAACATGCCTATGAACTACTTTGAAAAAAAAACTTCAAGGGGTTCGTGTTATCAAAATCATTTCTTCACCTTAAATTGGCAATTTTAATACTGAATCAACTTGTGAAAAATAACTGTTAATTTTATAATATATTTGATATCGAAAGCGAAACGGACTATGAAAATTTTAAATCTTCTAGCTGCCGACGGAATTTAAATTTTGAAGGGAATTTTATTTGTAATAACTGAAATGTAGACATATAGATATATATATTAAAGTTTCTTTTTCGAAAATTAAAAAAAAAAAGAACAAAACGCGGTCCTATGACAAAAATGGTATCATTTTAGGTCGTGCATTTAATTCCATCCTTCCCGGCGGTTCGTCCGTTTGTCCTAGTCAATCTTTATATCACGACATAGACATGCCTTGCGATTTTCCTGATTCGAGCCAAGATTCAAGCTTACATAACTTCCCTAAATATTTCGGGAAAAAGGTTAAAACAAATATATTACGGCAAGAGTGAATCATCGAAATTTGTTGATAAAATATTTTGAGCGAAATTTATCCCCGTTCTAAATCGCTAAAACACAAATTAAAAATTCTTGCTTATATCTCGTAGAAAAATCTTTAAGTAAATTTGAAATTAATATTAAATTTGGAATATGAATGATTTGTTTGCGATTTTTTTAAAAACTCAATTTTATATTAGTGTTTACTACCCTAACATCTATTATTTCAAATTTACTTTAATTTTTTTTAGGAGATATAAGCGAGATTCCCAATTTTTAGCGATTTAGAACCTATCCGCAATAGTTTTACACTTACAACATATATATTTTTTGTAAATATGTTATAATCAGATCATCTATGATTTATGCGCATTTCTGAATCTCATTTTTTTGAAAATTCGCTCTTTTGATTACAAGTATTATCAATTTTTTTTTTTCATATCGTCTCAGAAGGTTGACATGGCGAAAAAGAATGAATGTTGCGTTTTGGATTGCATATGTGATACCAAGGCTAGAATCTACTATGTCTTAGATGTTATGGCTTGGGGTGGACAAGTGTTTTATGGATGCGAAGCCGATTTTCGATGTTTTTGGTTAAACGCCAAGTTTGATGAACTCTCTCAAGACCCAGATATTTACAAGTTAAAAAAAATCTCAACTTTTCATTTCAGGGATTAAATATTAATATTTGTCAATATTATAAATAGTATTTTTTAAATGTCATTTAAAGTTTAGCGATTAGCTTACTACTTTGAACATTTTTAAAACTTATAACTAGTAAAATTATTCATATATATAGCATTTTACCTCGCATGTATTTAGATACATTCTTGCAATGTATTGTATCTAGATACTTAATAACTCTGAAATTCTTTTAAAACCTTCTAAGAGTCATTTTAAATTTTAAGTAGGGCTGTGTCGATATATCTAGGAATTGCCACAAGATATTAAGGAAAAGTTAGGATCGACAAATAAAATGAGTCTATGTTGTGGATCGATTTTTAACAATTTTTTGCCGATCCGATCCAGAACAAATTCCTAATAGGTTAATTCTGACGCCTCCTTAGACTAATTTTGTTTTATAACAAGTTTTAATGTTATACCGATATTCCAAGATGTTTATACATAAAAAATTAGCTGCCAATCTAGTGCCAATCCTAAGATATACATATTTATAAACAGGTCATTTTAATATCGGAAAAAATATCAGCGCAGCCCTAATTTTAAGTTATATAGGTCACGCATAGTTTGAAATGATTCCATGATGATTGTGTTATATTAGTCTAGTTAGTAATAAAATGTTAATTTTTCCATTTGTTTTTTTTCCTTCATTCATAGGTATAAATTTCTTAATATCTGAGTATAAAATGTATTATCTTTAATAAATAAAAATAATAATTGAGGTATAAATTTGTCCGCCTCGAATCCTTTGGTCCGCCACTAATACCTGCTTTCATATCCCGTGAATTGAGCAATCACCAAAAATATATCTTCACCAGGCCAGATCTCGTAACAAACAACCAAAATCAAAATTTATTTCCAAATACCAACAAAGATTGTTGTAAGGATGTAATGGAGGAACGTATACAAAATGGTAATAGCGTAGAAACTAAAGAGCCCATACCCCGGAATTCTCTGATGGAATATGATATCGATAAAAATAAGCCTATTAACTTGGACGGCTTACTATTTTTCCATAAAGAATCATACTATGCAATACCTTTGCCATTGAAAGATGACGAAAAATTATCCGACGACAAAGTAGCAGAGAATATGGCTATCGATGATATGGAATTAGGAAATCCTCTTGTTGGATGGGTAAAATGTGACCAAGTTGAAATTTTGAATATTATAATTGAATTTAATGAATAATGATAGCTTATATATTTTTAACGGAAATTTGATTTTATAAAAATATGTAAAATACTTATAAATGAACAAATATATTATTTATAATTTACAAGTCTTTGTAAGTCACTAAAAATACTCATAATTTAACCTCATTTCATTTTTTTTTAAATTAAGGATATTGTAATAAATAATCTAATATTATGTGTCATTTATTTTATTTGTTTTGATGATGCGTTTTAAAAGAAGAAAGGAATTATAACACATTTGGGTCATTCCTTTACTAATCGGAGTAAAGGGAGTTATTTGCCATTGGTTTAGGTATGTTATGAGAAAAATTATAAATTTTATTTCTCTATCTCCTATTAGTTCCAGGGATATGAGCGTTTGAAATGTAAAAATGACCCCTTGCTCATTTTTACGATACACATAAAAATGTGGATTACTTGATAAATATAAATGATAAAAACTTAATGGTGTCATTAGATAGCCTTTACAGTTCTTCAATAAAATGTATCACTTCCGTAAAGATCTAAAGTTATTTTTATAAGAATACAATATAGCCAAAGGTCTACAATAAGTGGACCTAAAAACTTCAATTAAATTTATGGCGTAAAACCCCACCTAACCTCCCCCTATAGAAAAATTTTGGATACACTTATGATACACAGTAAGCAATTGTCATCAGTATTTTGATTTATAGATGCAGAAAATGGAGCCTTAATATAAAGGAACATTTTTAAAGAAATTTACCTGTTGAAAAAAGCATTGGAGAAAACTTAAATTTATATTTGTTTGAAATTCAAACGTGATATAAAAATCCTGCTATGTCAGGACTATGAGGAGCTAAAGAGGGAATAAAAATGGTCTCCAACATCTCGGGCATGGTTTATTTTTTTAAAAAAAAATTAGGTTCGGACTGGGTCAGGTCTAATATTTGAAAATAAATTCGGGCCGGGCTTTTTTTTTGAAATATAATATGCTAAAATTGTGAAATAAAATTGATATATTTTAAAATTTTTGCAAGAAACAACCCTCCAAATTTTTTTTGTTCGAATATTATTTTTTTACAATTAAAAAAAAAAATTAAATTTTATTATTTTATAGGAAACTAGGAGCCAGATACCTTTTATATTGGGTATAATAATACAACGTCTAATATCTATGAAAAAAATATGTATATATATAAAAGAATTACAAGTAAAATAAAAGGTAAAATAGTAAAGAGAATATTAATTTTAAATAAATTTAGGCTGGGTGGAGGGGACAAATAATTTTTTTATTTCGGGTCGGGCTGTTCGGGATAAATAAAAATTTTGCTCGGGGATTAGGCCAGGCAATTTTTTAATATTTAGGGTCGGGCTTGAAATATTAGGTTAGATACTTAATTATGAACAGCAGAATTTTAAATGTATTGCTATAACCATACTCAATAACTGCCGCTGCCAATTTGACCTATTTTTTTGCTACCATAAATGAAATCATATAATTTTTTTTTCATCTTTGGAAAATACAAAAAATAATTATAATAGATAATATTAATCAAAGATTGTCACCAGTAAGATATATATAAGATTGGAAAAGTTAAAAGCCTTAGAACCAATTCATTGCAATTTTGGATCTAATATGTTTTCTCGTACGAAGTTATTGCATATATCATTGAATTTATTTTTACAGTAATAATAGTATGGTTTAAAATTTTTGACAAAATTAATTTCGTAAGCAAATAAATGTAATTCATGAGAAAAATAATTGAATAAATATTTTAGTATTAGTTAAAAGATCCATAGTTTGCTTGCCTATAATTTAAATTAATAATGGTTGTCAATATTTAATAGGAATAAGGCACCTTTCTTATCACTTATCCATGAGCTAATAACACTTTGGAACTAGAATTGCATTTAGACCCTATAATTGTTTTAATTTTTTTTTTCAAAAGTTATATAAAAATAGGATTAAATGAATTAAATTAGATAAATAAGTATAATAATGCTAAATATGATTTATTTAGACTAGAGTTCTGGGCGAATTATCGACCCGACCTCCCTTGATTCAAATATTTTAACTCACCGCTCACCCATGTTTAAAAATTTATTCCTGCCAATTTATTTATAAAAATGGTATTTAGCTCACTTACCCGCTAAGCGTTTAAAAATTATTGGATTGTCTCCTTGTTTATTCTATTATAATATATTTTTGCTACTTAAACCAATATCATAAAATAATTTTTGATAAAAAAGACCCTTCCTGCTATCTCGCCCGCAAAATATTTCAAAATTCACCTCGTCAGTTGTTATTATCTAACCAGTCCATGCGCCCGCTTACCTAATGTTTAAATTTTCAGCCTATTTTTAATAAAAACATCTATCTATCCATGCGCTTTTAAAAAAAACGTCCACTCTTTAATACAATTATGGATTTCTCTGTAGAAGAGGAATCCTATCATTTTAATATATTATATTAATTATATGAAAAATGTGACCCATAAATATTATTGGGAGTTTTCCAGTTATGCCAATATTCTGATCATGCATATATTCATGTTAAGCCTATTTATAATATGAGGATCAAGTAAAATTATGTTTTACTTTTATTCTTATATTTATAAATAAATATAACATAGATATTCTTTTCAATACTTTTACAAATGGCCACAGGTATATTCAAAATCAATGTTCCATTTATTGCAGACTCACTTATATAATCTTGATTCTTTATCTATTTATAAAAATTGAGAATAAAGGTGTTGGTGAACGAATATCAAAGCCGGGTTAGACTGCTCCAGATCCCAAAATTATTTTCAAAATGAGTCTTCTGCTGCATTCATATCGAGTTTAGAACAGGGTTTAACAATAATCTTCAAATTAGATCAATCAAAATGAAGATTTATTTTAAAGAAGATCCAAAAAATTTTGTAATTTCATCAAGAAAAATTTTTTTATGCATAAAAATTACAAAAGATATTTTACAAAGAAATTTGAATTTAAGGTAACATTTGATCAAAAATCTTGTTTGAGCATTCTCAAAAAAATCTTTCGAGATCAAAATCTTTTAAGATTTTTTTCTTCTTGAGCAAATGTTAAACTCTGGTTTAGAAACCCAATGGAATGATAAATCAACTTGATTTCTATCAACTCGATCTGAATGCAGCAGACCCCTTTCAAAAAAAAATCTGGATTGTGAAGCTGTTTGAGCCCTTCCGGATGATCATCATTATGAAATAAGGATATTTAAAATTAAAAAATAAAGTTGAATCATACTCCTCCAAAGCTCAATTTTTTTTCAGATCTTTTGTCGAACCAAGCAAATATTCGTAATTTATCGTTTGTAACTTCTGAGTTCATCATGGTAATTTGCAATTTAATTCCATAAGAAACATCTATGGCGGTCATATTAATTTTAGTGTTCTTAATCCTTCATTTAAAAGGTTTTAAAAATGTTAATTATTTTTGGATAAAAATGCGAAATAATCAGTACAATAAGTTAGAGAATTAAATATTCACAAATTATCCAAAATGTTTAATGATATACTATTAAACAGAGGTGTTCGAATATCTAGATATAAGAATGTGGTGAATATATCTAGATACTTTATAAGTAGTATATGTATTTGTATAGAGATACACATTTATAAAAAGTATATATTTTAGAGGTGTCTGTATCTATATACGAGATACATTTTGATATAATCTTATTTTACTTTTTTATATTAAAAATAATGTTAGAATTTATATATCTGTATCTAGCTCCCTTTATTAATTATTTTTATTTTGATTAAAAAATAAGAAATAGATCCATGATTGCTAAACCTCAATAGAGGGTCCTTAAAAAAACGACCAGGTGCTATCAAAAAAGGAAAAGTGTTAAAAATAAAAGTGTCAAAATAGAATAAGGGTCAAAAATGGAAAAGCGTCAAAAAAGAAAGTGCCAAAAAAGGAAAATATTCGATAAAAAAATGATTCAATTTTTTAAAAAAAGGAAAAGGTTCTTTATTATAAAAGGAAATAAAATCGGAAAAAGTTTAATCAAGAAAAGGGTTACTTTAACAAATAAAAAGATACCATTAACAAAAAAGTATAATAATAGTAAAGATATAATTAGGAAAATAGCAACGGAATGACTAAAAGTTGATTATAGATAATAAAGAGATATCTATAATAATGTTATTCCAATTTTTATGATTTTTTTTCTTTTTAATTCAAATTATTTCTTCTCATTTTTTGGAAGGTAAAACCTGCAATACAGATGTTATTGAAAAAAATTACTTAGATAGGGAAGGCAATTCCTTGTCATCGAAAATTTCGTAAAGGTAAATCATTTTATATTTCCTTCCATCAAAAAAGTTATCACAAATATTGCTGGATACTATTATTAATTTTTTCATAAAAAAAAATTTTTAATTATAAATTATGTAACACATAGTGGGTTTATACCGCGAGCTTGTGTTAAATTCTTCACAATAAATGAGTTGGGACATGCTAAAAAGAAAATATTTGATCAAAAATTAGAATTGATTTAAAATTTTTAATTAAAAGTTAACTAATAATTAGTTACATTGAAAGTTACTTTATAAATAATTTATATAACACATCATATTTTAGGTATAATTTTTTAATTATACAAAATTTTTACAAATTTATAATCAAAGGAATTTAAATGAAAATTTGATTAAATTAAAAAAATAACGGGACTGAAAAACTATACCACATAATTACTTGTATTGAAAAAATATCACTTTGTAATATATATTTGCATCAAAAAATATATATAAATGACATTTTACTATATATTTATTTTATATAAATAACATAATATAATATTTATTTTTTATAAAAATTGAGCTTAACAATTATTTGACTTTAACAACAAACTTTTCCAAATTTGTGTCTAAAGATGTGCTAATTTTTCTTTAAATATAATAGATTAAACAAAAGTTCTATAGGAGTGGTTTTGTATAGTGAGACTTTATATTTAATAAAAAGTAATTTTGAATTTGAAGTATAATTATAAAGGTAATAAGTAAGATAAATATTATTCAACATAGCTATTATTTTAGTTATATTCCAAAAAATATAAATAGGATTAGTCACCAGTTACATTTACAGTTATTTTTTCTCAAAAATTTAATTTCTTTAACAATTCTAGAAAATACTATCATTTGAAGCTGTATTTCTAACCTACAACAAATGATATTCAAGAATTTATTTTGAATAAAATTTTTCAAAAATGTTTTCTTGAAAATATCAATTTTTTTTTACACAGATCAGTTCTATTATACTTATATTTAATAATTTTGCAAAATTAATTTAATTTTAGGTGCAAGACAACAATGTGTTATATTTCAAAAACACGCTACTAATTGTTAGAAAACCTGGCATATTAATTCTATCTCTTTCATCTTTTAGATCAGTTAAGCACATTAAATTTAATATCGTTGACTGCAATGTATAATTATTAAAACAATCTTGCGAATTTATCTTTCAATTTTTTTTTTAAGACCGCTTCAGAAATTAGTAATGATCTAAATCGTTTTGTTTAGACCCCTTCTCTTTAAATTACTGCCAAATAAAATGAAATATAAATGAATAAAATTATAATTATTGATCGTTTTTTAAAAAAAAAATATTACTAATAATTTCTAACTCCAAGCTCAAAAAATGTAATTAATTGCAATTGCAAATTCCAAAAATAAGGAGTGCCCAATCTTGGTAATTATATTTGCCAACTTATAAAGAAGATTTCGAGCCCCCCCCCCCCCCATTATTCTCCACAGCTATGCTGCAAATATTAAGAATATAACTTGATAATCTTTGAATATGTGCATAAAAAATATAACAAATTAAACGCGTATACCCATTCTCAAGGTTTCTTTATTACTTTTATTTATATCATAAGAGTCTCCTTTATTAATGATTACTTTGTCATTCTTTATGATACCTGTATTATATAAATATAATTTCGATTAAAGTTTTAGTGAAAAGGCTCTTATAAACTTATAAGCATGATTTATTTTTTTTTACATTATATTATCGATATCATTTTGGAATATTCTTGGCTCATCCTTAGTTTATTTTCTTATTCTAACTTTCAGAGTTATTTTTTTTTACTATACATTCAGATCCAGTATGATTCTGTTCCGATAAAATATGTATTTAAATGAGGATAGTGGGAATCCAGATTTTTTTAAAAAAATTAGGGGTATAGTTTTGATATTCTTTGGGATTTGATTATTAAAGTTTTTTTTTTTCAATAATACAAAAAAGAATAACGTTAATCAAATTATAATTCAAATAAAAACTGACTAGAATGATTATATTATTTATTGATTCTTTAAAGATTTTCGTTACCTCAAAACGTTTTGAATATAAAAAAAATATTTACAGAGTTTTAAAGGTATGACAATATTGTGTTTGGTGTAAGCTTTTAAACGAAATCCATTTTGAAATAGTAAGAAGGAATTATAGGCACTTTTGCCTATATGAAGTTTATTACTTCTTTGAACTATGTTCTATAGAAAAAAAATATAATATAACACTATATTTGAGATATATACAATTAATCCATTTTTCGATAAAAAACTTATTTTTGTAGGTGTTATGGCTCTGTTTTTTAAATCTAAGATCTCAATATATGTTTCATTGCTAGTGTTGGGAGCCGTTAATTTGATCTATAATTAAATATTATACCGTAAAAATAAAATGTAGATTTTGTGAGAAATAATTTTTATAAATATATTTTTTAAATTATCGTTAACTTTTACATCGCTTTTAATCAAGAAAGTGAATTCTTCATAGTTTTGATTTAAAAAATTCCACATTTCAATTGACTTTAAGTCAGATGTATTTGTATTAGTTAGGTAGTGACTGAATTTCAAAATCAAAGTTAAGCTTACCTGATTGTTTCCGAGGTTGTATCCCAGGTAAACTAGGGATTTTTTTGAAAGCCTTGATTTTAAATAAATTGTATAATAATATATTGAGTTATACGTTGCATTATTTTTAGAGGATTTGCAATAGAGGCAGCGTCTACATGATCAGGGGGAAGTAAGCAGGAGCATTCAGCTTACAAATTTTTTGAAGATGGGGAGGTATAGGTTATTGAGAGGGTGTTTTCTCCAGTGACTTCTCTCTCGTAGACATTGACTAGAGGTTACTCAACCTAAACTAGAAGGTGAAAATTTTTAAAAGGGTTCCTGGGACCGACCAATGAATATTTTTTAGTAAAATGATTTTGTAGTATTTACTCAGTTCATAATAATTTATTTTAGGGAAAGATATATATTTGCTTAATTCTAGGCTGAAAATTGTGTAGTTCCCATCCGGACAATTTGTACAAGTTGTCCTTTCAGATTTAGGGTCGTCACTTGGAGGTCCTTTACAATTTTTGTAAGAGTTTCTCCTGTCCCGCTACCTGGCCTATCACTATCATAAATAAGTTATGAATTTTGATAGCGGCGTCAACCAAAAAAGTTGAAATAAAAATGTACTACTTTTACTTGATTTAAATAAATTTTTTTAATAAAGAATGAATTATTTTATTTTCAATTTCCAAAAATTTTACTAAATTCCTGGGTTAAAATTTTTTTTTACACAAATTATCTAGCCAGGCCCGTTTAAAGAATTTGAAACTTCAGGACAGATCGTGCAGATCCTTCCTTTCTTTATTTAATAACACCCAATAAAATTCTGATATTATAAATAAATATTTTTTATATAATAATATATATAATAAATTATTAAAAGGGTTAAATATTTGTACTTAAATTTTGGAAAAACATTATCAATATATTTCATTCCTGTTATCCCATCAAGGTGTAAATTGTCACAGATACCAGGTGTTAGATCTGTAAAAAAGATTTTGATCATGTTATAATATACAATAATTTTTATTACCGTTATTAAAAATTCTCGTGTTATTTTGGAACCATATAAGATATTTTGATGGAATATCAAAACAATGCGTAGTTAGGAATGATACTATGATCAGGAAAAATATTTTGGTGTAATTGATCGGGAAGATAAAGTTATGTTTCATTATATCTTGCTCTTTTTTTTTGTAAATTAAAACACATATTTGCTATGCTATTATATTTAATGTATTAATTATAAAATCATTTATAACCTCTTCAAAATTTTCTCTATTTACCCTTTTATTTTTGGCTATGCATATATATAGAAAACTATTATAGTGTAGGTAATGGTTTTCGAATTAATTTATGTTTGGGACAAACATTGGTCACTATTTTATTGAAAATTAGTATGAAAATGTATAAAGATAATTTTTAACTAATTGATTTCTTAAAATGTGTTTAATTCATTTTTTTTAATCATCTTTAATAATTTTCTAGTTTATTATAAATGATGCCCAAGAGATTTCTAAATTCTCCAAAAATTTTAAAATATATCTCTACAAATTAACTGAATTCTCAAAGTGCACGATCAATTATATAAAATTGGTAGCATATTAAAACAACTACAACAATGGAAATATTAGTAAAATATTGACTCAGGCCATATTTATTTATAACTCATTTGTATAAATCATTAGTTTAAATTTAACATTAACACTAATCATCTTAAAAACCATGCATTCATAGAACACTCCAATAATGAAGAGATGTTATTTACAAAATATTTAGGTTATATAGATTATTATACCCTTTCCCCGATATTATCTGGTCCGAATTATAGGTTAAAGATTGTCCGATGGAATATAATATTTTAAAGTATCGAAAATATCATGAAAAATCTTATTAATATAAACAAAATTATAGTATAGGAAAAAAATTCTACCAGATGATTTCTAACTAAACGGGGGTTCTGAAACATGGCCAAGCAAAGAATAGTTTGCAGACAAAAAGGATAAGATACGAAATACAAACTAGGAGGTTTTAAAGTATCAGGTAAAAAAAAAGATTATGGTATATGGACATACCATGAGAAGGTCTAAAAACAGTATAGGAAGCAAGGTTAAGAGTCTAATGATGGGTAGGCGAAGAATACCAAAATTCCAAAGGGCCTAAAAAGTTAAATATCAATAAATATAAATTGAATAAATTGGATTGTATGAATAATATAAAATGGAAAGAGATATTTGAAAGAGCTAAACACCTGAAAAGGTGAAAGCTAAAAAGAAGAAAATATCAATTTTGTAAATTTTCTTATTTTTTTGAGAATTTTTTAATTTATTGTCTACCAAAATACATTAGAAGCACTAAAGTAAAATGTAAATTCATAATTAGTGCTTACTAAAATTTATTCAATATCATTTCGAACTTTCGAAAATATAACTCGATTCAAAATTAAATTTTAACTATTAACTTAAAAGAACAAATAATATCTATAAAGGTTGTAAAATCATAAGATCAAAAATATTTTGAAGGAAAAGACACCTTAATGTATTTAGATGTGATTGATTTTTTAATTGTGATTCAAAATTCGATAGTGATGCGTAAGACGTGACGTTATTATAATTTTTATTTCACTTATAATGCTTTTGTTTAATGAATGACTGGTATCTACCAAATGGGTTGATGTACTAAGATGCAATAAGTACTAAGGCCGTGTTCTGATTCTATTTATTACTAAATAGATATTTAGCTTTGTTGAAACAACTTAAAAAGTAAAAGAAAAAAAACAAACAAAACGAAACGAAACGAAAAAACGAAAAAACGGAAAAAAAAGAAAAAAAAAAGAAAAAAAAAGAAAAAAAAAAGAAAAAAAAAAGAAAAAAAAAAGAAAAAAAAAGAAAAAAAAGATAAACAAATATGGAAAATATGGAAAATAAGAATGCCACTAAATACATAAAACAAATCAAAACAGTGTTTCCTAGTTCAAAAGTGTTTATCCTAAATTATATACACTTCAGAATTCGTATATTTCCAAAATATTGGCTTACAGTTTTCGTTTTGTTTATAATTTGGTTTCTTTGAACCAGATATTTAGTGCTTCTATATTTTCCAGGCGCGATGTGTTTTTTTATATTTATTTTGCTAATAATTTTTTCTTTATAATCTAACAAACGGATTACTTAAGTGCTAGACATTGATACAGATAAAGAACTTCTGTTTATTTTAATCTTAAGATTGGCCAAAATATTTTTATAATATTTTATTCTTCTTTACTTGCTAAATACTGGCTAAAATAGACAATAAATAAGAACAAACGGATTTTCGAATTAGTGCTTACAATTGTTAGGCCCACTTCATAGAGATGATAAAAATGATATTACTTATAAATTAATGGTATATATAAAAAAATACCCAATTCGAATTATCCTTCGGGGTGATCCTATGAAGGCCTGACAAATGGAAGTTTGGGGGCAAAACCTAAATTATTTCTTATACACCCCCCCCCCCCCCTGCTTAAATTATGACTATTGCTACTATACCAGATGGTTTATTAAATTTTTTACATATATAAGAGCCAGAAACAACTGTGCTGGCTGGGTGATGTAATCTACATTTAATTTTGGGTTATGAATTAAGAATAATCATATATTAATCTCTTATTCTCATTTGGTAAGTTTTGATTGAGTTGGTTTTTGCCTTTGAATTACAGGTTACAAAATAATTAGGTAAGAAAATGAAGATTGGCGTAAACATGAATCCATGTATTTTTTTTTAAAGAAATACACCGAGAAAATGTTTATATTCGAATATCATAAATAACATTATTTCTTTATTTACTGAGTTATTTTATGAAAATAAAAGCCAAAAAAAAGACGATGAAGATAAAGGATAATTTAAATTAAGTAAAAAAATTTTATAATAACTGAAATATTTATAAAATTTAAATTCTCACTTAGGAAATCTTATGGAATAAATATTATACGTCTAATGATAGCAGGATATTAAATAATTATATTTAATTTTTATTTTTTAACAAATAATTATTTAAAATGTATAATTAATAAAAGTATACTATTATATTAATGTCTGCAATATGAAGAAACTACCACACCATCATATCTTTAGAATAATGAACTTTAAGTAAATTTAAATAAATTTATTTGATTAATATAATTTATAATTTTTATTAACTTCTCAAGGTAAATTTTTTAAGAGTAATTTGTTTGATTTCACTGTATGTAAAAAAAGATTTATTTTTTTTTATTTCGATAAAATTTTTATTTTTATTTAGAGTTTAATTTTTATTTTTAAAAATATGCGTGAGCCTAATTTTTACCATCTTTATTTTTTTTAAACTTAACTTAATGAAATTTAAATTTATGTATATCGCGTGTAAACCCCCTTATTGTAAACCCAGACATTATTAACTTTCACTTGAAATATGAATTCTTAAGGGGAAAGCTCTTTGACTTAGATGATCACTCTTTCGGTATCAAATTGAATTAAATATACTGAACCTTTGTCATCTCTTGTATACATGTTACAGTTTACAGCAAGCCTTAAGCATACATATCTATTATATCTGACCTAACTTTTTCTTTCCCTTTGGTGTTTTTTTGGAGGGGGGGGGGAATTTTTTTTAAAATAAAATTAATTGATATTCTGAGCTCTAAATTACGGATTCAGTATATTTATGAATAAAACTATAATGTAACCCTAATTTTTCCAGCTCTTCGAAATATAATGTATAATATTTCAGATTTATTTTCCTTTATATTTTGATAATTTAATAAAGGGAATAGGATTTGCAATCCGATAATTTTTTTAGCCAAAATTGCTGAAATTTAATATTTTTAAGGTAAAGAAGTAATGTTATATTTATAATTGTAAAGGTACATATCTAGCAATGCTAACATTTAAAAAGGTCACAACGCGATACTATACGATTACCTTTTTTTTCAAGAATATATTATATATATGGCTAACTCAAAAAAATAGGATTTTTCTGAATTTTCTTCCTATTTAAAAAAAAAAATATATTGGAATTTATTATTCTAAAACAATGCACACGTCGCGCATACAATAATAAGAATATGATAGATAAATTTATTCTTTATTAGAAAAATATTATTTAATAGGTAGAAATCTCGAACCTTTTTTATTTTGTAGATTAGCAATGGAGCTATTATGGACTGTCATTATTTTACCCCCGGATCCCAAAAATTTAAAATCCCTGACATATGACCGTTCAAAATATTGATGTTCGATAAATATTCCTCTAAAAGGGAGTCGAATATATTTAAAAATATTATACGTCATTTTATATAGGAAGTATTCCTCTCGCATCCAGTAGCTTAGGGAGTAGGATGACACCGACTTTTTTTTTGTTCAGAAATAAAAATAGATCAATTGTTTCGTCAATATATTTAAAACAAAAAAAAATTAAAGATAAAGGTGAACTATTTACATGATATCTAAAAAAAATACCTCGGGTAATTTATATATGAATTTGTAACTGAAAAATGATTTGCCCAAAAGTGGAAAAAATTGTGCCAACGATTCCATATCTAATCTATCTAATACATATTTTGAGGAAATTTTCTGAGATTTCTGAAGAATATATTTTCCAGCTAGAGCCCACCCGAAATTTTTGCAAATGTTATTTATCTATTTTGAAATCTTAAAAAAATGCAGAAAATTTATTATTTTTCCTTTACAAAAAATAAAATTTTTAAGGCACGTGACGGGTAATTATGTATAAATAAAATATGATTGCCGGGCCAAGCCGAAAAGTTTTTGTTGATAGACCGGTTTGAATGTATCACAACAGAGCTACATATACGCTCACAATTAATAATACAATCATTTTCTTGACCATATGACCTTTGTGTAAAACTTTGGCTAATGATAATGTACGTTAAAAACCCAATTTTATTAAACCATTTCTTAAATTGTAAATTAACCCAATTCTATCTGGCGACTCTTTAGCCATACCCTTACTTCGTTCAAGAAGTTGGTTTAAGAGGGAAAAAAATCTCAAAATTTTTTTTAATTAGAGTTCTTTCGCGATGTTATGTCGGGTTGTTTATGTTTAAAAATTACATTAAAGTTTGGGTTAAAAAATGTTCCAATTTCGGATATATAAAATATTGCTATTTCTCTGAATTGATAACTCACAATATTGTAAAAAAAAAATTATACTTTTATATACCGTTAAAGGTGTTGAATGAAATTAAATTATATTAATTAAAAGCGTTAAAAACAAAAATAAATTTCTAAAAGTAAAGTTTACTAACTTTAATAAAATAAAAATACACTGATAAGCAATATCTTTATGAATTGTTAAAGCTAGCGATAAAAACACGTTAATATTAACTGTTTATATTATTTTAACCTTCAAATTATTCTAACAAACAGATATTTTAGAGATATAAAAAAAAAATTTTATTCAAGTGTGTTGTCGAAACTTATTTTTTTTTATTTACATATTTCTTTTTTTTTTATTATCAAAAACATGTAAAAGAAAATAAAAATTTTACTAAAATATGTGAAAGTTTTGAAACTTTTCGAATTTTTAAAACAGGTTTAGGACGCAGCCTAATAAAAGTGAAAAATTTCAATTACAACTTTAATTAAACAATATTTTTTATGAAAGTATAATTTGAAATATATACATAATATCAATTTTGGAAACTAACCAGTTTCTTATGTGTAAATTGGTTATCAAGGGCCTACCCGAGAGTGGAACAATGGAAGATGAATTTAATATTCGCATACCTTAACTTATACATCAAGACAAGCCCGTTGTTTATATTGAATAAATAGATTGCTATACTTTATCTTTGCCCTTTGAAAAGTTTTCATAAGCGAAAAGTTCTTTATTTATTAAACAAACCTCGCCATATAAAGATAATGTTATTGTAAACACCCATCCAGAATCGATTAATCTAAACTTATTTTATCTGAATTTACCTTAACCTTTTCAGACGCATAGCCAGGAATTTTCTATCGGGGGGGGGGGGGGTTAATTTATTTAAATATCGAAATGATTTTTTTTTGGAACATTAAAATCTATTAGAACTAATCATCATATAAAATTTATAAGAACCATGATAATTTCGAGGACAAATATAATAAAATCGAATATAATACGGTTAATAGCTTATAAACCGGTATGTAAATCATAAAAAAATATAAAATTAAACATTTTATAATGATTTTAAAAAGCTAGTTAAAATATCGTTCATAAATGAAAATTTAATCTTCTATCCGATTGCGCCAATTTTAATAATTTGTTTTGTGTTGGGAATTAGATCTCGATGAGTAAAGCTAGTCTAATTAATCAATTTTAAGATGTTATACTTTTGATATAAATTTTTATTCTCTGTAATGAAGAAACTCTCATTTGTGCTTGTACAAAATTGGTATCATTGCCAAAATATACTGTAATTTTAATTATATTTGGAAATATTAAATATATTTTATAGTATGCAATGCTTTACTGGAGTATTAACTATAAAAATGAATATTTCATACCTTTAAATTCGGAAAATTAATTGGCCTTCCGATATATTTATATCCACTGAATAAAATTTAGGTAAATATTTAATTCAATATAGAGATTTGATATATGAGGAAACTATGAGATATATAATTTGTAAATTGGATAGAGACATTAGATAAAGCACAAACCGGTCATTGATTTGAGTCAAAATTAAATTCAAAAGTCGAATAAAAATGGTTATTTTATAATGATATTTTATTGAGTCCACGTTGATATTAGAACCATTTGTTTGTCGGTAAAGTCGAGGCTTGTGAACCTCAAAAGCATATAATTTCACTTTCACCTCAACAATAACACAAATCTCGAGAAATTCCTGGTAGATATTATCTCTTGGTCTTCTGAGTTGTAATATATAAATATTCTCAATCAAAACTTCAGTTAAATCCATTTTTTGAAAAATGTGCATAAAATAAATAATTTATTAATATATTCCAATGAAAAAAATCGGCAGTCATATTAAATCTAATAATGTATCAACTCAAAAATATGTTTCAGATGATTCTGATATTTATCCAAGGGCATAAAATAGGCTCTTCTAGATCCAAAAAATGTTGTATGTTAAAGAATCTATCTTGTCATGCAGGCTTTTTGCAGTTTCTTTTTTCCTGTAGCACAAAGAAGTCTCATAATTATATTCCGCAAATTCTGTCTATTTATATCTGAAAATTTTGTAACTATATAAATTTTCTAATTATAGTTATTAGTAGAGATAAATTAAATATAGAAATTTTTTTTAGTTGATAAAATTTTCTTATATCTATCAGTATTTAAGGTTTAAGAAAAGTAAAAAAATAAACTTTAAATTTTCGAGAAATAAAATATTAATATGCAATAAATAAATTTTATATAAATAAATTTTATTATTTAGATTAGAGTATAACCTTTGAAATAGAATACTTTGCAATTAGATCCATGAAGTTTATATTTTTTCAAAATATTCCTGCTATGGGGCGGGGGGATTTATCTCCCTCTCCCCCCTTCCTCCGCTGGCTTCTAAGCCCTTTTATAATATATTTTACTTAGGGGAGCCGCTGGGTACGCGCCTAAACCTTTTCTTTATACTTTAAATTTAAAAATCAATGATATTTATATTTTGAACTTTAAAAAAATAATACAAAAGCCTTTTTTAAATTTTAATAATACAAAATTTTAACTTATTTTATTGGTTGAATTAGTGTAAACATTGCAATCGAGAGCATAATTAGTATTCTAATGGTATTATCCTTTTTTTTAAAGAGTGTTTGAATTTTTATAAGCATTTAAAATTCGATAGATCAATTTGTTTGTTAAAAATAAAAGAAATCTCATATCCTAAAAAGAGTTTTTAAGGTTTCATGTATTTATTCTCTTAAATAAGCAATGAATGTTTAATAAGCATAAAACGTATCTGATTTCCTTTATAAAACTATTAAGTTTATAAATTGATATATAATGGGTAAAAAGACCCTAAAAATGTAAACAAGTTTAAAAACACGTTTCATAAACAACTAAAACTGATTTTTATTTCAAGTTAAGGGCCTTTTCTTAGAATAACGGTTCTTTAATTGTTGATAGAATCTTGGCGGTTGATAGACGGTATAATTCTTTTTAAATACATAATTAGAGACTTGACTAAGCTCGTGCTTTAAATATATTTTTAAAATTTACATTGAGGCTTATAAAAACATGTTTTCTCGTCTTGAAAATTTTCTTTGGGACTAAGAAGCAAAGTCGTATTTTTTTTATATTTCACTTTACAATTAAAATGCGCTTTAATTAATATTAAATAATTTTTCAAAAAAAAATTTCTAGTTGGGTTCAGTCTGAAATAAAATTAAACAAATTTTTATTTCCCGTGACCAAAAATAAAAAAATTTATTATTTGTCAGCCCGGCATGAATATATAAATAAATTTCATAATTTTTATTGTAAAAAAAAATATTTTACAAAATAAATAATATTGGCGCCTGGTTTCTTGCTAGAATCTTTAAAATCAATTTATTCCCATAAAATTGAGTCATACCATATTTAAAAATTTAAGCCCAACCTAGCCCGTCCCGATTTTTAAAAAAAATATTCCGACCCAGCTAGAACTCCAAATTTTTTTTAATACTCACGGGCCGGTCCTGTCAGAAACGCAGACCTGGGTCGGGCTATGGTTTGGTACGGGCTAATCTCCATATGTGTAAAATATTGATAATATATATGGTAAATTAGTAACTTGAAATTAAAATTAAAATTTAACTAAATGTGAAGATCTGGGGCAGATTTTGGCGAGGTGACTATTATCCATTTTTTTTAACTGGGATTTATTTCTAATAAAAAATATCCAACTATATTAAAAACATTAAAAACCACTAGTTTGTCTAAGGCCACTTGACAATATGAAGCTGGTTGACTTATTTTTAGTAAATTATAGGGCAGTTTCCGTGTATTTTCAATACATTGATTTAACACTTTTATATATAAAAAATTTAAAAATAAAGGAGCACTATAATACGCACAGCGAAATGGTAAAAGGCAGATATTTTTAAATATTAATTTTTACCTTAAAAGATTTGTGTAAAGAATAAAACTACGTTTAAAAATTTCGGGAAAATTGGCTTCATCCAATTTTTTAGCATTTCAATTTATTATGGACAATATAACCCCGATCTCTCCTATCCTTAAAAAACAGGAGGAATGATTATGCTTTAAAATTTGGTTTATTTAAGATTCCAAACATATGTTTTAAAAATTTGGTTAATAAGATATAGCAAACAAGCTTAAAAATGTTCATAAAATGTGAGTCTGGACTGGTTAATTTAATATTATTTTATTCCAAACACATTTATAATATATTGAAATTTTATCAATAAACGTTCGATTAATAAAAATAGATCCTTCTTATAAGATTTTAAATGTCATTGTTAATTAGTTCCAAATTGTAATCTTTTAATTCCTTTTCATTTCTATTTATTTGTTATAAAAACAAAATATGGATATATACATAAAAATATTTTTTTAAAAAATATTTTATTGCCTATCCGTTATTTAAAATATAATGATCAATATAATACCAACATTCCAAATATTATCCAAGATATTAAAATAAAAGTGGTTCGCTTCTGCTTAATCGTCTTGTATTGTCGTTAAAAAATTTTACATGGTTTTGGAGTTCAGCTATTGATGAGATAAGATCTGGGCTAGAGCCATTAATGTTAATGCCGTACATGTTATCCGTACTTTCAGTTATCAGCTCCGACATACAATAATCATGTTCGATGTCTTTCATTATTGCTGGTAATTTAGATAAAAATTTACCATCCATTTTAATATTAAAGATTCCACTTATTGCAGGGTATTTAGATGATTTATGAGTTATAGCTCTTGAAATTTTCTTTTTGCCCAATTGTAAAAAACTTATGATTTTATCAATGGGAGAGAATAAAAATATATAATTTTTATCGTCATTTATTATGCCTCGATTAGTAGTGGTAAGCGTTATATGATTTCTGTATTTCTCATTGAAGATCATGGAAAAGCACTTTATCTTGTTATCATAAGATAGTAAATCGCGTGGAGTAACGGCGCTATTTATAGAATAATTTCCTTGAATTTTGATAATGGGATATGATCGTCTTTTAACGTAGGGATCTCTGGCAAAATAAACTTGATAATTGAATCTTTCGTCGGGAATTAATATTTTACTAGCTTTATTGGCATCCTCTCCATTTGATGTACTTTTCCTGTACAAGGGTTTTAAAATGGGTTTCATTATCAAATCAGGTCTTCTTGATTGGCTTTGCGAAAATGTTTGTTTCTTTCGATACGAAATATTAACTAATCTATACCAAAAAGATCCATATTTGCATTGGATAGGTGATATAATTAGATTGCAGCAAATGTATATAAAAATCAGCAAGAATATAATCGCCCCAAAACCTCCTGAGACGAATGCAATGTTAATATAGGTTTCCTCTTTTAAGGAGTTGTTTCGTTCAGCAGCCTTAACAATGGAATTCTTTACGAATGTTAAATTGGATTTAAAGAAGTGACATAGAGCAGAATCATTACACTTTGTATTTTGCATTTTCGAATTTTGGTAAATATAATGAATATATTAAAAATTTCTTTTTTATTTATAAGAATATGAATAATTGATCATTTTCGATCATTAACCAAAAAAAATTTTTTTTTTCCACAAAGTTTATAAATATTTTATGAAATTTTAATGAATTATTGAAAAAAATATGCAATATATTTTTGTGATAAAGAGTGTATTTACATTATAAATTTTTCAATAGATAATAATACTCTATAAATTTTTTAGTTTTGTGTAAAACATAAATTTTTATATATATTTTTCTGAAAAATTATTATAGTATATCGATCCATAATATTTACTCAAAACACAGTGACAAATTTTTTTTATTTCTAGAGTAAGATTTTAACAATCCGGGTTAAATATTAACAAGTAAGGAGTTTGATTTCTAAGGCTAAGCCTAAAAAATAGAGCCAAAATATTATATTTTATATAATAAGCATTACATTACCATGTGATGAAAATATTTGCGCATATAAATTAGTAATAAAACCAAAAAAAACTGTATTAAGTTAAGTAGAAGAAGTCTCTAAAAAAAATCTACCAGACAAAAATCTTTATACATCCTATAAGAACTCTTTTTAAAAACCAAAATAAAACCTACAATATCAAATGGTATATACTTAACAATTATTTTATTACACATATAATTATCTTCCTTAGACTGTTTGACTGGCACTGCAATTTCTATATCTTCTTTTTCCTAATTTTTTTATCCTTTTGAGTTAGAACTTTTAGTTCCTACTTTAACTGAGTAATATGAAAATAATGGTATTTTAAAAGGTAAAAATAAGATAATTCCTTCAACATACCTACTTATTTTAAAATTTAAAAGTTAGTTTTTGAATGTAAATTTTAGGCTCTTATCTTTTCAAAAAATAACTGAAGAACTTGTTCTTGTAGAGAAAATCGATCGAGTCTAAATATTTGGAGGTGCGTAATAGGCGGTAGTCTATGAGTCGTCCGCGCCTCACAGTTCACAATTCTTTAAAACTTTTTAGACGAAAACTAGCTTTCCAATCAAGCTTTTCTAACTCATACATTCTCTACCAAAATAATTTTATGAGTTGCCGGGATTTTTTTTTTATAAAATTAAGATTTTTTTTTTTTAAAATAAAATATTTAGAAATAATAATTTATAAAATATTATTTTGTTTTAGAATTTTATTGATCCTTTAAAAATCTATATTATGAAGAGAATGAAGCATAAGAAAAATAAAATAAATTTATTTTGTAACAAAAAAAAACCTTGTTTTTTATGACCTATTAAATTGAAATAAAAATTTTAATTTGGGGGTTGACTTTACTCCTAAGCCCATTTTTCTAGACCTTCAGTCGTGTTGAAAGATAGTCAATTAGGCCTCCCGCTTTAGGTTGTGCCCCACCCCACCCCGCGGTGTTATTATTTTCTACAATGTCTGAATATCCTGCCAATCTCCCGCAAAATAGTTGAAATCTAAAACACCTAACAAAAAGCTATCAAAATCATAAAATGCCAATTATCTCTAAACAATTAAATTAGATAAAAAAAAATTAGCCTCCAGATTCTATCATATTTTATCAAATTTCTGCTAAGAAATAGATCCAACAGAATTTGAATATATCTTGCCCTGAGTTCGCGAAATTAAATTTCAAAGACCACGGCTAAATTAAATAAACCTTTCGGATGGATACCCATTTGCTAAAATGGCTGGTAATTAATAAATTTATAATATTAATTTAACAAAATAAGTTTCAAAAGTGCTAGAATTGTGATAGTTGAGTTGTAGGATATTTCCGCTTGAGGAATATTGTAGTAAGTGTGGTGACCTGGCAACACTGATAAAAGTATGTCTATGATCTCTATAGAAATAATACCTCCGATTAAATAACTTTAAAAAAACAATCAGAGAAACTTTATTAAAATTGAAGGGGGTGGGAAGTTGTGAAGATGCTATCGTCATTAAATTAAAATTGGAGAGAGATAGGAAATATAATAATTTAAAAAGGGGCAGAGGCCTGCCAATATGGGTAGAGTAATATGGTCATTGGCTTTGTAAGCGAGTGTAGAAGTATCTGCCTGACACAATACGATGCCATTTTTTCGGGTTTTCTCTTTCTTTTTTTTACCCTGATATAGTTTTTAATTTGCTTATAACTCGATTTTCCTTTTCTTAGTTGGTGAAACTTGTTGAATAAATAATAATTATTAGCACAAGTCAGATATTTATAGATATATTTTTGTTCTGACATTATACCACTTTTTTTTCTTATCTTGCCTATAATATTTTCCTTGAATCTATATATCAACGAATTGAGACATTCATTACGCAATACTTTATGGTTTGGTATATGTTTCAGAATAAATGCATTCAAAAATTTTGGCCAGCATCACGCTTAACTTCATTTTTAAAACTTGATTTTATAGTATTTATTTGTGGCTAGCAAAACTAAACAATATCGCAAACTAGATATTTATTGTTCATATTCCATTCTGGCTTGATGCCAATTTTAGGTTTTCTTATTTAACTAATTATTTTTCATTCTATATCTTCCTAACACTAATTAAGCATTAATTGATAAAAGTTTTCTGAATTGTCTTTTAAATAGATTGTTTAATATAAATTTGACCAAAATTTTATTTTTGCTCAAATTTTTATTTATTTATACTTTGCTTGGCACTAATGAAGCACTAAATTTTAGCATATATCTTAGATTTGCTATTATTTGGCTGACGTCAATGGAACTGATGATAACAAAAGTATTTCTCTGAAAATTTAAATATAATATATAGTTTAATAGTTTTTAACACTATTTTTATAATTTAAAAATAATTGTTTTTTTTAAAAAAAATATATATTATTATAAACCTAAAAATTCTTTGTTTCTCAATTTATATGTTAATGCAATGAGAACGTCTTTCAAAAATAATTCCTTTTAATTAACTTCCAGATTTATAAAAAGAATAGTTTAAATAAAATCATGGTCTATTTAATAAAAAATAAAGTAATGAATAAAAAAAAAGCTCATCTTAATTTTTACAATAATAAAAACCTTTTTGTTAATGTAAAACATAAAATTTTAATTTAAAAAATTATACGACAAAAACAAAAAGGAAGCATAAATTTAAAGTGTTTATAAAAATTTATAGTATAATTATAATAACGTATAATTTATCAACTTAAATTTTAACCATCACTAAATTCTGAATTTCGTATAATGATATAGATAAAAAATAATAAAGAACCTATAAAAGTTGTAATAATATTAAATATATTTTTACTTTAAAAAAAATAAAAGTTTGCAAAAATATTTCAAAAATTTTTGAAGATTTTTTTAAAAATAATTTGATCGGCAAAGATAAATGTTACACCATGACGGCAAAAAAAATTACGCTTTTTAAAAACGTTATTAAAAGCGAATGTTTTAACTATTTAAATGAAATTTGGAAATTATATAGATAACCTAATCAAGTTTTGTCACAGTAAATTTTTTTAAAGATTGTTCGATTGCTTAGCGTTAAAAAAGAAAAAGGCCTTAATAACGTAGTATTTTAACAATTATTTTATATTTTTTTATGAAGAGCTGACGATTTATTTTATAATTATCATAAAAACTATATATATATATACTATGGCTATGAAAAAAGACTAACTTAATATAATTAATATATGCTTTGAAGAAAACACTATAATTTTTTAACACAAATTCGCGAATTTATTGAAAATTAGTTTAGATTGAGCCATTTATATTAAAAATTTATTGTAAATAACTATATTTAAAAAAAATATAATTCAATTCTTGTACTGTATTTAAAAAATTAAATTTAACAATTATAATTAATACAAATGAATCAAAATATAAAGAATTCTTATTGCAAATGAATGCAATACTTTTATTAAAAATAGACAGGAATCTAAAGTGCAATTACACATGTGCAAAGTATTTTTTGGTCTCAAAGAGTATTCTATTCTACCAAGATTTTTATACCATCGATATCACAAAATAACTTATCATACGATCCTGATAAATCATCAGAATAAAACTCTGAGATTTTCTTAATCTTCTCGCGTTTCAAATATAATCAACAATTTAAACTCAACCGGCAGAAGAAAATAAAAGCTTGAAATAAAATTGTGATTAATAAATCTTTCCTTTAATTGAAATAAAAATATATCAATAAGGGGAATAAAAATTTTTATATTATAAAAATCTTCAATCATAGATGCATCAATATTTAAGCGATTGGACTGTCTAGAAACTACTCTAGATTTGAAAATTTAAATCAAAAATATATTAGATATCTCCTTTACTTTCTCGTATATCTCATAAAATTTTCATCCACATTATCTCAGATATTTGTTAATATTTCAACAATATCCTTTGCCCCTTAAATCAAATCAATTTTTTGTCTCATTTTGCTAAAATCATATGTTTAATTAAAATATACACATTGAATTTTAAAAATTATGGCTTCGTAATAGCTAGCAAAAGATTTTCAGCATCTACGGAGTCTTTTTCTTTGCTTGATATGGGATTCGAGCGCTGCAAAAATAATTTCATATAATTTGTTGAAATTTCTTACTGATTATTGTCTTTCAATAAATCTAGTTGGACAAAATCTTTTTACTTTTTTTTTTGATTATTCGAATCAATATTATCAAACGTTCGGATAAAAATCTGCCTCTTCTTGGGTGGTGTGAAAAGTCACAAACCTACGATATTGTTTCTAAATTTTGAAAAATATATAAGAATTATAAAAAGATATCTATAATACATAATAAAATCTAATAAATTCCAATTAAATTAAAATATTTTTATGTAAACTGTTCCGGATGTTTCGAATTTCGCATGCCTCATATATCATCAAATTTAGGCAATATGAACTACAGCGAACATATAGAACTGTGCTATAAAGTTCTCTAATTCTTGACTGCACCCCTTTAACGTGACCACTCATCGAGGGAGCTCCATCATTGGCCTCTCATTAAATTTAAATTTAAATCTAGGTCTTGAATGGATGCTAAAATTTCTTTAGCTATCGTCTTTGATTTAGTGTTATGTAAGTCAATAAATTGAACAAAGAGTTTCTTCATTTTGAAATCACCTGATTCCATAACTGGTATAGATAATTGCTCTTTGTTACCAACATCCGAAGTCCCATCTGCCAAAACACTAAAACATGATGATGCTTTCACTTTTGTAGAAATTTCTTTCAATATGAACTTATTGCATATGGCTATTATTTCATTTTGAATACTTGGACTAAGGTAGGTGGCATTTTTGCAGAGCTTTCAAAAAGCTTTATAAAGTTATCATTATTATTGCATAAAAGTTTCAACAATTCCTTGAAATTCCCTTCATTATCAGAAGAGTATGTAAGTGTTAAGGGACCAGCAGATATTCTATGAGCTCTTAATGATAGCCCTGCCTCCCTAACCAAATGATTGCATCAATTATTATAATTATTCTTGCTCTGTTGGTTTGTAAGAATATCAATTTTTATATATTCAATACATTAGATATTGATGTCTTTTGATTCATAGATGGCTTTTAAAGCATCCTATATCTCACAAGAATTGAAATGGTAAATATTTTAGTTCACATAATTTTTCATATATATTTTTAAATCATGTGATAATTTAAAATCAAAATTTTTTTTATATTTCATTTTGATATCGTATATATTATTTTATTTCTAAATTGAAACCGTTTTTTAAATGAAATTATTCACAATATTAAAAAAAATTTCCCCGGAGGTTACAAGGCTGGGGGATACAAAGGGGGGACCCCCCCCTTGTCTACGCCACTGGCTCCATTTTTTTATTTGATTTTATATAACTTTCACTATATTATTGATTTTTGATGATATTTTGAAAAAATTTCTATCCAAAATTGTCAAATTACATTAGAAGATGTTGACGTTGTCACAAAATCCTTGCAAAAACATCTTATAAACAAAATGGCTTAATGTATTTTCTTCTTTCTTCAAAAAAATTTTTTTTATTTTTATTTTCCCTTTCGGTAATTACTAACTTTAAAAAATAAAATAGGATGTGAAATAGAAGATATTAATTTTTTTCCCTAACTTAGATCACAAATTTAATATTTAAATAATTAAATGGGGATTTACATTTTATTATTCAACTTATAATAAATAAAAATATTTGTATATTCTTCTCAAAATCGGGAAATGGTAATAAATGTAATTTTTATTTTTTAGTATTTAAAATTACTAAAATACTTTCTAAAATGTTAAAATAAATACTTTTAGTCTTTTAAATACAGCTATTCGCATTGCTTCCCAAAACTGATTTTTTTCTTCTTGCCCAATAATCAGCCCAAATCAAAATCGTAATTTACGATATCTTGGAAATAAAAATATCCGATCCCACTAGATAAAATTTGAGTCAAAAAGTCACTTAAGATTCAATTTTCTAAAATGGCTAACGAGCCCGATGTACATCTCTAATCGGAATTATTAACAACATTGTTGTTAGGATAAAAACAATATGTCTAATTTTAAGAATAATTAATGTAGAAACAGGCTCATTAATGATGATGATTATAATGATGGGTGATGATGGTGGTAATGATTTGACGAAGTTGTGTTAACTATATCATAAAAAAGATCTATGGAAAATAAGAACTAAGATTCTAACTCAACCAATATAAAAAAAATTATGATTTTGGTATAATTTTAAATCCCATTAGTATAATTGCATATACTTTTCTTTGTCTTGGGTAAAAACAGAAAATACCCATCTTCCAAATTTGCCACATACTAAAAAATGTTTCCACTATCCTTCTCAGAACATAATAGGACTCTAGAAAAAAAGTAAGATAACTCCGGATATGTAGAAGTTATTTAAGATGTTTACCTACTATTTTCCCTTCCCTCCTTCTCTTTCCTTTTCATACAAAAGAAATTGCGCGTCCTTTGGAGTTTAGCAACTGAGCCCTGATAACGGATAGGAAATCTATCAAATTTACTTAGGTCAATTTACCAAAAGGCTTTTAGATATAGGGTCCAGTTTAAAAATTTGATAATTGACAAAATCCGATCATCCTCCTAAAGGTCTCATAAATAGAAACCTAAAAGTCAACTCATTCTATGATCTATAATCAACCAAATTTTTCGTATGTATGGCCGAATAAAAATATGCCTATATTCCGAAAAAAATATTTACACACAAATAAAAAATGGGGCTACCCGTTCTACTACGACATAGAGACTTATTAGAGATCTGCAAAATTAGACCCGGCCCGAGTTTGGCCCGAATATAACTTATCGATTCAAGCGAGTCTTAGAGAAATATCCAATATCAATCTAATGATTTAATTATTATAGACCGTAATACCTTAAAATTTTCTACAAAAAAGGAAAAAATTTATACCAATATCTTAATATCAATTTATTTTATAGTTGTTGAGGTTATTTTTATTATAAAATACTATATTCATAATTTTAAGACAACGACAATAAATGTTTTGTTTTAAAGTAAAATGATTTTGAAAAAGGAAAATTAAATTATATATGGAAAAAAATCCTTACTCAAAAAAAATTATTGTAAAATAAATTTATTTTGTTCTTTCTCGAAGTTTTAGTTCAGATAAATTCGATTTATATATAAGAATATATTATTAATTTATCTATTTTTTTGGTATACCGGTGATTTGCCTATTTTCGCAATTTGATAGGATGCTTGTTTCATTTCAAAGCATTTAGAGGGTTGTAATGAATAACCAGCTTGTGACATTTTATAATTCAAACTCTTAATAGATGTATGACCCTTCCTTTATGCCCTCCCTCAGTACTCTTTGAATTTATTAATATTCATTGGCGCTTATTAGTACTCTTAGGCAAAAAACTTATAGACGAAATGGTTACTTATTGACGTTCCTTAGGAGAAAAAGTTATAAGCGAAACGTCTTGGGTGAAGATAGGTAAAAGTCTTAAGCGATATCTATAGGCGAAACGCACCCCAACCATTTTTTTACGCCTAGAAATAAATAGCTAAAGCTGATCATTATTTCAAATATCTTATTTTAAGCTCCTCATATCAATATTATGACTATTATTAGCAAAATGCACGATCATACATTTACTGGCACCCATTATCATAGCTCTATCTGCTCAATATTTAAGATGATTCAATATTGTTTTTAAACTATCGGGTGACTCATGAACCAAATCATCAGCAAAGAAGTCCTTTGAGTCTATTTTCAAAATTTTAACTCCATTGTCTCTAGAATCTTTTATCTCATTAAAGTAACAAGAATATTAAACAGAATAGGAGAAAGTAAACAATTATAACAATTATGTCTCAGCCTTAAAAAAGAGGAGCACCTTTTGGTGAGAGATTCCCCTATGCGCAGAATCATGGATTCAGAATTATCTTCAAATTTTCTGAATATATTATAAAAATAATAATTAACTACTGTTGTTAAACGACTCGATTTAGGTCGATTCTTAAAAATGGCCCGATTAAAATTTTAGCTAAAACAATATTGCAGCCTGGAGATTCTGCTTATAGATAGTAGAAAGATTTGAACCTCTATTTACAAAATCTCAAGGGCCGTGACAACATTTACATATACAAACTAATAACACTAATAAGCACAAAGGTTTTTTAAAAATATTGTAATTCAATATACGTGTATTCATGAAAAATTTGAATGGTATATTTCCAAACCAATGTTTTAGCCAACATAAAAGAATTTTTTGTGGTTAGAATGGATGACAGATTTTTTATTCTACAGATGTTACCCAAAGTTGAGGCCATAACCATAACAAGAAGTATATTATATATGAATATTTATTCCTTTTTTCGTTTAGCGGATCAGAGACCATCTTCATGTAGAATTTAGTAGACACCTCAATGCTTGAGTTCGATCGATAGTTTTATCGAGGTCTAGTGATTCTAGGGAGCATGGGTTGTGGCTCTTTTTAGGGCTTTGGAATGATGATGTTGATTGCTGAGTGACTTGGCTAGCGTTCTTTCGCTCATAGTGTAAAGGGTATGTCCAGTTTTCTCTGTCAGTGTTAAACAGAGAGAATATACAGAAGTGTCTATGCTGCAACCAATGGGGAGTCCGATAGACATTCTTAATTGTTCTAATGAAAGTCTGAGATTTTGGCTGAAGATTGCTTCTACAACCATTTATAGCTGCTAATTATATTTGCAAATTTAAAATTACCGATATCTTCAGGTTGTTGGTTTGAATAAAATTTGAATTTAGTCGATATTATTTAAAATCTTATTATAAATTTAAATAGACGTAATGTTAGAATGCTACTCAGTTTGGAAACACTATCTATAATTATTAATAAATATAACTTACTATTTTTAAACATGGAAATTTCAACAATTCGTTACAAAACTAAGCTTAAAATAGGAAAGTTTATTTTAAACTATATTTGTGCTTCTTCTATTCATCAATAGGATACAGCTATGTACCGACTATACCGACAAATTTGACTTATGTATTATACACATAAATTGATAGCAAATCTCTAAAAATAGATATCATTGTTTAGGAAAACTTTAATAAATGTATTCAAATTTACTATATTTTTTTGGACATCATATTTCATTTTTATATATATACATATAATTTATTATAAATATTGTAAAAATATATATATTCTTGTATATATTGCCATATAGATTTCATGTTTATACATCTCGTATTTTCTTAAAGTAAGCGATTGCCTGATTTCGAGTTATAACGAATACGAATTTTTTTTTCCTCTAGATTTCTAATTGCTTTTAAATTTTAACTGATACAAGAAAAATAGTTTGATTGTATAAATTCGAATTTAAAATTGCATATGGACGCAAATAGAGTTATAATGAGAAGTAGTCGAATATCGATTAACGAAACGATGGAAGGTGATGAAGAATAGACGGGACAAATATCTTTATTTATGTTTTTATGATAAGATTAAAATTATAACATACTTTTTTATAAATAGGTTATAAACTATAAAGCAAAATATAATTAAAACTACTATTTCTAGAAACTTCGATTCACCCTATTTTAAAGAAATGGCCTTGTCAAGATCTTAGCCAATAATATATTACGTAGACCTTGAGATTTAGCAGGTAGTCTAAAATCTTGATTTAGCTGTTTTTTTTAATCGGAAATTTGTTTTAATAACACTCATCAAAACCATTCTGTTCTCAAACATTATATATATTATTTATTTTTTTTAAATTTCAACCCTAAATTTATAAAAAAAAATATGTCATTATAGTTTAAATGAAGTTTTATAACTTCTCTTCCTCAAAATGTCAACTTATAGAGCTATTTCACGTTTCTGGAGTTACTAATGGCTATATTATTTCCTTTTTTTTAAAAAAAACTAATCAGATCATATTTAAAAAAATCAAACTCTAATCTTATGTTCGTACCAGAACTTTTATGTGTTAAGCCTCTGAATGAGTAAATGTTAAGATTTGAGTTTAGCTACGAGACTGAATATATATAGGCATAATACATATATAAAAAATAAGATATACCTCTAGATACAGCATGATATCTCATTATTCCATCAATTTCGGGATTTACATTGCGTTTACATATTCCTTGAGTATTTGAAATGAATAAAGTGTTTGTTGCCTTGTTCTCCTTGATTATCTATATTCGAATATATTTTTTTTACAGAAATAAACATTTAGAATTAATTTAAGTGGAAATATTTTCAAAATTTTGATAAAAATTTTTGATACTTATATCAATTTTTAACTTTTTTATTAATTTAATAAAAGCAATTTTATTAATATTTATCCGTACAAAGAACAATATTAAAATAGTAAATTTATATTAGTAATATATAATCGATTTTTATAAAGCATTATGAATCTTACGAAACAATTCAGGTATTTTGAATGGTATTCACTGGATATCAAGTAATGAAGATCATTTTCCTGCCAATGGGCATGACATTTGAATGAGCCTAAATAGATTTAAAAAATAAAATACATTTTTATTTTGAATAAATCATATGAAAGATACTAAAGCCCTACAAAAATTTTGATCATAATTTTTAATTTTTGATCTTAGTAGGGTTTTGATTTAAAATTTAATATGAGATGGATCGGATCTCGGAAATTATAAATCATCTTTTATATATATTCATTTCATAAAAAAACAGCAAATGATTTTATTTTCCTCCAGCGGTTATTATTTTGTCGCTCCTTGATAAATCATAACTTTAGTCTAATATTTTTATTTTGAAGCGGATAGGGCTTTATACCCAAAATAAGAGTTCGTTATTTAAACAGATTTAAAGCAAGGCTAGAAAGGATTGCTATTAATTATAAATACAAAAAATCGTACATTTGAAAAACCCCTTCTTAAGTTTAGAAAAATATAGATCTTCAAATTTAAAGATATTTTTAAAAATACGAGTTTTAAATCTAAATTCAATTATTAAAATATACTTATAGTTTGCATTTCTATACGAGAAGTGCAAATATGTTGTATATCGATGATGGACGGATTCTTGCAACCAACTTCAATCAATGACAATTTTCTGGCATCACAAGCATCTACATTTTTTAATTTTTGGGCCCTGGCGGTTACGATTTCGTACATACCATTAAAGGGGCATGGTGATGAATGGGATGGGGTTACTTCGGCTTTAATATTTATTTAAATGTTTTTTAAAATTAGATATTGTTTAATTTAATATATTCTAAGTTATTCAAATTAGCGATAATTGAATAATATGGAAAACTAATAGGCAAATCGTTATAAATTTACCTGCTAATGTTGAAAATCGTATAGACGCTTTTTGACGATCTTCGTCAAAGTATTCGCTCTGGCAAGCCAGTTCAGGTGATGGTGCTAAAATGCCTGTAAAAAAATTATTTTTTTATTATAAATATGATAACAAGTATTACTATTATACCTTCTTGTAGCTCTATGACATGTTCACTTCTTCTGTGAATATGCAGACATTTGTATCCATGAAAGCTGTGTTTTATGTATTTTAATAAAACATTTTGTTTGTAGCAATTACACAATTTAACAATTATTAGAATCATAATATGAACATTTTTTTTAAAATAATTACCATCCAAATATGGAATAAATGATCATCTTATGAAGGCTAGGTAAGAAATTGTTATCATCTATGGAAGAGTTCATTTCGCCGAATCGGCTATCGTCGATTATCAAATTTGGTTTTGGGCGTAAATCTTCAAAACAAGTCATCTTTTCGATTGGATAATTCCAATTTAAATCTTTTTTTTAAAATGAAAAATAATTATAATAGATATGATAATTTTCTATCGATTGATCATCCAAATATTAGGCTTATTAATAGATAAATAAACAGTTCAAAATCGAAGTTTGACATTTAATTTTCCTTTTAAATATATTAATCAAATACACGTATAACCATTTTTCAATTTTCAATAAATATCATCTGATTATGAAAAAAGGGCATATCTAAAAACGATTATTGTTGTAATTATTTTTTTAGCAAACTTTTATGGTAAAGTGATATTGTTTTAGATCTCGTCATGATATTTTGAAAATTCGATCTCCCACCGTGAGTCCTTGGGTAAAAATTATCATATATCATCCTATTCATGAGATCCGTATTTGGATTGGCTGAAATTTTAACTATTTTTGGTTCAAAGTACCCCGATTTATCCAATAAAGGCCATTTCTTATGATTATTGAAAAAAGCTGGGAAGTAGCAATTAGCCCGTTTTTCTATTGATTCCATATCTACGATAATATAATTTTTAGCAGAATATAAAAGCTTTTTCTTAAAAGGATTATATTTATATTATGTATATATAGATATATACATATACATAATATTTAAATAAAATTTGTCAATATGTTGTCAGTTGAGTATTATAATGTTCTATTTCCATTTATTTTTTTAAATTGTTCAGGAGAGAATTAAAGAAGGATTTCTCATTTTAACTAAAAAAATTAAAAATGTAATACTGCAAATAATTGATTATTTCCAATTAATTTTTTAACATTTTTATATGTGGATATATAAGAATATATTATTGAAGAATTTTATTTATTAAAAAAAAGAAGCATTTTGCCAAAAAAGTGGATATAGAACACAATATAATATTATTTTTTTCCTACTTAAAAAGTCTGATTTACTATTCTTGAGCTATAAGGTTCAAAATTTGTGAGACAATTATATCTTTAATATATTATTATTTAGGAATAGGAAATCATGTAGACTTAGCCTTAATATATTATTACAATGTAAAGACTATATAGAAAATGTATGCACGTTATAATACCGGAAGTTAGTTCGAACAAGTGAGGTCCATCTTTGGCCGAAAATATTCCAAAACACGTTGAATCATAAGACATGGATAAATGGTAACCATGTTCGTTCTTTTCATAAATCTATAATTTTTTGTAATGAAATATGAAATAATATTTAAAAAATAATAAAAAATATTTTTTGTCACACATTGCCTCATTTTTCGAAAATAGCCTTTTCTTTCTTTCTTATTTTTCTAAATTTTCTAAAATCATTAATATATATATTTAAATATAGAATCATCTCTTACGAAACAACGGTACTTGTCTTGAATAGCTTGTTGGGGTGTGGGATGGTCTTCTTTCTTTTTGGATTTAAAATATTTCGCAGTTTTGTCCCAAAATTCTACAGATCCAGCGAGGTAGTTCTTATTACCATCTTTCCATTCAGCCAAACAAGACAATTTGAAATCTGTTAATCAATATCAAAAAATGTTACTACTTTTAAGTCATAATATAAAGCTTAATATGGAACTTTACTTACGGGTTGAGCTATTTATATAATATTCCTACCTATGATATATTAATCCTTTTCATATTAAATACTCCTAGAGTATAATAACATCTATTATTTTCTTAAATTCTATACAATATAGTGGTTGGTTTCGGCAAAAAATCGCCAAGTATATTATAACTATATGTCTAGAGTTTTAGAAAATAAATTAAGATGGAACATTTCACTAAATTATCGGAGAGCCCTTGAATGACTATTTAATTAAAAATTGAAACAAAAATACCCTATGACATTCGAAAAATAAGTTATAATGTATGGATTAATTAATAATACACTAATAAGAATATTATCAAAAATTTATATTCAGGTATCGAAGAAATGACGCAACTATTGAGAAATATATTCAAAATATAGAGTAGCTAAAATAAGACCATAATAACTAGATGGAAAAATCACACTAGATGAAATCATGCTTATAAATACTCGATATATATATATATGTGATTTTTCATAATTGTCCTAAATTTATATAGTATAGTTGTCTACGGGAACCTTATAATTTTAAGTTAGCTGAAGTATATTATGCATTTAAAATATTGGGGGGGGGGGTGTAAAGTTTATCATATTAATGGTTCGTTACTCTGTGATTATAAGATAATTTATCAATTTCCTACCAAGCGATCCGATTACTATCTATTCACAAAAGTAATCTTGTTAATAGTTTCAAAAGGAGAATAGAATATTTATCAAAAAGTAAATAAACATTAGAAAAGTTAACTTAAAATTCCTTTTTGGCCATCTAAATCTGGGCACGATTGAAACCTGAAAAGTAATTGTGTAGGGTTCGTGCAACTATCTAAGGAATTGAAAGATTGTTTAACCCTTTTATCTCTCTCATTCACCGTGCTGTCACCACGACAGTCGCCATATTCACCCCTGTATTTGAATTTATACCTTTGGTGATGGAATGGGCATTTTATTTGGCTCGGATTACCTTATAAGAATTTTTTTTTAATATGCATAAAAATAAGTATTAATTACTGTGTGTTGTTATTATCACTTATCTAACAATAAGTTTTGATAATATTTATCTAAATCTAATAAAACATCAGTTAAACATTTCTAAAACAGTTTTAAAATAAAGTTGTTATACTTCGAAAAAGAGTGTATAAAAACGCATCTCCGCCTATTTGATCACATATAGCTTGCAATGTATCCTTGGGAACGCAAAAGCCTAATAAATTGATTTTAATAAATTTATTAATAAAAAATGATAATAAACGTTTAAAAAAAGTACACATAATAAAAATGTTCCAACTAAATTGTGATATAATATATTACACTTCTTCTATATTTTAATTTTATATAGTAATAGCTCCTTTTAAAATTTATATTATTTAAATTATATTTATAACTCACACTTAACATTTCTAGGCATAAACTTGTTAATCGATATTAATAAAGGTCCTAAAATTGTATGTATTATTTAATTTAGCCTAAACTGGTGTTAGGGATCTGTCAATATAGCAAAATGATGATCAACTGATCCTTCTTTATTATATATAACAGTGCCGAGCTCAGAGAGCCCTATTGTTTAAAAAAATATTAATCAGAGGATCAACTATTGTATAATACTCGAATTCTTTATTATTTTTTTCAAAAATTTTTACTTTCTTTAAATTGGAGAACGTTGTAGTGTTTTTCCGTGATAAATAGACACTGGTAACAATTTTGTTTCCTAATAAATAACGAAAATAAAGTTTGATTATGAAAACGTCAATAAATTATATTTTAACACAATTAACAACTCTTTATTGTTGGATTAGATTTTCACATGATATTTTTAATATGGTTAGTTTACACATTAATACAATATAATAGTAGTAAATCTATAAGCTAATCCTATTAAATTTGGGGAGTAATAAATCAAAAATTAATATTTTTTTTAAAAAAAAAAGTCCAACTTGAAATTATATATTTTCAAATTTGTAATCTAAATAATTTAAATCTGAAAATGGATAACTTTTATATATTCATAAAATATTAAGTGAGTTTGAATTAAAGAATTAATTCATATATATAAGTCCAATCATTACAAAATTTATTCTATAAATATTTGTAATAAAATCACTATAAAATCAAACAAATTTTTTATTAGACGATTAAAATTTAATATTCAAAAAATTTTATTCATATAAATTTTCAATAAAAAAAAATCGCAGTTTTCTATTTAGTAGAAAACAATTCTCTAAAGTAATAAAATACGAAATATTTATATTAAAAAAAACAAAAGCTTTGAACAAATTAAATTTTAATATACAAATTATTATGATATGAAAACTTAATTATAAATATATTTGGCAAATTGGTTTGAAAAAAAAGAAAGAATATTATTCGACTTGGTTAATGCAATTTAGACGATTAAATATTATTTATTACTTTTTAAGAGTAGCTTGCTTTACTTTTAAATATATCTAATTTTTTGGATAAAAAAAACATTTTTAAAATAAATCTGTGGCTTATGCTCTGCGAACGTAATATGAACAAAATCTCTTTTCTCGAAAGTTTTAAATTGGAATCCTGTAAATGCGCAATAGTTATATAGCTATCTAAGTAACATTTATATACGCTACATACAGAGATACATCGACAACACTTTTTGACTGATACAAATACCGATACTAATAAGATTTCGGCAGTTACTCCCGATATCAAATATTTTTTTTTACTATTATATTAGTGGTTTTTTTAAAATTTAATTTAAAGATTATTTAGAAGATTCTTGGGAAATTTGTTTGAAATATAGAGGGTAGATATATTGCACATTATACATGAATAAATTTCAGGCAAATTTTCAAAATAGAAAAATGTTTATGCGCTGTTTATTTTAAATTGGGAAAATAATTATTTTGTCAGAATTGTATTCTGGTTTGTGTAAAATGTGCCTAGGCCTGTATACACTTTTAGACAATTTAGGATAATGTATTGCCTGTAGTAACATTATCAATTAGTAGAAATCTATCGATTATTACAATATACTTATTATCGAGGATTTAATAAGTAACTCTATATTTATATAAAGTAAATCATACCCAAACTAGTAAATGAAGATGAGTATTAAAATTTATTTCTCAGTAACCTTTTTTTCTAATTATAAATTAAAGTAATCCAACTAGTATTATCGGCAAAGGGTTGTTACATTAGCATATTCTATTGATAAAAAAGAAAATAAGATACATATATAAATAAGAATTACATTCTTTGTCTTTAGTAAAATTATTTATTCATCATTCGTATTATAATTTCAATGTAATAATAGAAAAATAAAAAGTCACATTCGGCAAAAAAAGATATATACAAATTTATTAATACGATTCATTAATTAAAATTAGGACAAAAAAAGTGTCCTATTACAAAAAAAATATATTTTTTTATTATTTCTACATTAATTTATTAATATCTTTTTATTCTAGAAAAGATATCTTTATCTAGAAAGTATAAGTAACATAACACTCCGTATTCAAAAATAAAAGATGATTTTTCAAAAATGATAAAATATTTTAAAAAAACTACTAAGAACAGGTAAAAAATATAGTACAATGTATTGTAAAAACATGTTTTAGTTTTTTTAACAATAAAATATTAATATAATATATTATATAAATGGTTTACAATAGTTGCAAAAATACGGCAATATACAGATATTATTTTTTTCGTTATCCCAATCATTTATTGGTTATTTATTATGAAATAGATTGTTTTTATATCAAAAAAAAAATAAAAAACATTAATAACTTATAATGACAAATATACGTTATTGTAAATGTAACGTTGGAGGTAATATAATACAATTAACAAAATAAATGAATATACCAGTTCTCCTAGTAATGAAATTTAATATTTTATGCAAAAAAAGGGGGCATTAACAACCATTATATTATACTAACATATAGAATATATACTATTTTGCCACTTATTTAAGCGGATTATCATATCTATTATTTCTATGGCAACTAAAAAAAAAAATTTAACCGATTTTTTTTAAATCAAATTGCTCAGGCGCCTAATATACTTTATAACTTTAAAGCTTGGGAAAGTAAATTTAATTAAATATAAATTAAAAATATTTCCCTTTAAAAAGAAATGTAATAAATAATAATTATGAAAAAAAAAATGATTTCCTTATTTCGAAGAATTTTTTATAGATATTAATTTTCTTCATATCCTTCCTAGTGGGGACCGGGGTAAAACAATTGACGGGGTAGCAATTTTAACCTAATAAATTTTTCATTAAAGCTTAAATTTGGTGTGAAGATTTATATTTATATCTAATTTCTTACCCATGTTCTTTTTTTGAAATAGTTTACATATTAGACATATTTTGCCAAAAAACCGTTTTTTACTTAAATTATAACACTAGTTTATTTTGCTTTCAACAAAATATATTAAGGATCATAATTTAAATATTTGCATAGATGTTCCAGAGCTATAAAATAAAATTTATCTGAAGTTTATAGCTTTACTATAAGTCACGTGATAACATCGTGACGTTGTATGGGTAAAATGGTTAAGATCTTCCGTCTGATTAAAGTAAAAGACAATTTTCAATTATCAATGTTTATACCATATAAAAAGATATTTTTGAGGGGAAAAAAGGAACATTAATAAGTAGTTTGTGTGTTATTTGGAATAAAATTTTAAAAATAGTTCCAAAAGGGAAGAATAATTTAAATGTACTAAGTGCCTAAAATAGGTATAAATTCTTTTACATTCATATATTGTATTGATTAGTTTATACTCAAAAGTGATAGATCACAAAATTGCTATTCAAAAAAAAACCATAAAGTATGAAATATTTTATTTTACCCACTATACCTTGGTGCTAAACCTACCCTGGATATGGGCTAAAATTGCCAAAATAGCACTTCACATAATTAATCACAGCTCCTAAAGTATTATATAGAGAATACACCTCTTGTTTATTTTGTAGGTGAGAGATTTGGCTACATTAAATCTATATTTTGTTCAAAATTTTGGTGAAAACGTAAAGTATCAATCATTTTTACGCGATCTCCCCTACCAGAGTTTGAAGGAATTCTGGGAATAGGGACAAATATAGGAATCAGAACCGAAAACCTATTTTTAAAATTTTTGGAAACCGGAACCTCTCTTAAAATTTCCAGAGACTAGATAATTCATTTTAGGAAGGTTTATTTACTGTTAAATTTATATTAGTTTTGCTAAACGCATAGTGCTTTCATTTTTTGACTAAATTATAGCTAGCTTAACTTAGTTTTATTGGAAAACCATCATCTCAGCATCAGTTTTTTGGTCTTAAATAAAAATGTAAATCAATTTCGAAGAAAGCGTAAATATATTAAACTCGAGCCTCAATGCCTAGAGAATTTTCTTCAGCGGGCGTCTGTAGATTAAGCCAAACTCGCCTATTATTAGTTATATATGTACACGCAACTTGAATTATGATATATTAATTAATTAAGTCACATGAAAGAAACAAAAAAATAAAATATTTTTCTTTTCATAAAGTTAAAGGAAATATTTTCCTACAGTTTTTAAAGAAAAAAAAACGTTATTAATAACATTTATTCTAGAAAAATGGATAATTCAATTATATATTTTTTTTTGTCTTGTATTCTTTTTTTTTCCTCAAAATAAAAGATAATTATTTTTACAAAATTTTTTATAAATATATTTTATTTTTTTCTTTCCCATAGAACTTATAATGAAAATATAATTAAATTTAATAAAAAAATAATTTTTAGTTTTAAAAAAAAAAATGCCATCGTCTTTTGTCGCCGGGAAATGAATGATATATTAAATATATAAGTAAGAATCTCCTATTTTTAATATAAAAATTTGTATGTAATTTAATAAAAGTTAATTTAATAAAAGTTAATTTAATATAAATTTAATTATCACCCTAAATCTTTATGTATACAAATTGATTTTCAAATAATTTAAAAAACGTGGTTAGAATAAAAAAAGAAGATGGGAATATTTTCGGGTGGAGAATATACATATAAGGTTACTTTGGTATTTTTGATTTAGTTATATATGTCAAGAATTTGAAATTATAAACATATTTATACTTATTACTATATATATATCTAATTTTAATTATGAAAAAAACTTTTAGATATATTAAAGATTACCTACAGATTAAAATTTAATTGTAAGAACTGTGAATTTAATCACTTTCAGGATGGGTTGTTATATTGAAAAATAACGAAAACTGGAAGAAAAAGGGAATCATTAGACACGAACCATTTATAACTTTAAAGAAACCGAAACGTAGCATAATATGAAAAAAATAGCTCTTGTTTCGGGTCCCTGTATCATTAAAATGTTTTAAGTCTTAGCGCGAATCCAAGCAACATCTTTTTGTAATATCTTTTTAGCAATTAGTATTTTCAAAAATAGTCCTACATTTCTTAATTCCGCTGCGTGTCCTTAGACTATGATACAAATCGCTTATTATTTTTAAAGAATTCCTCCCCCATCATTTATCGTGGAAAAAAATCTATTAAACTTTATTCAAGTTATTCGAGTAAAAGAAAACCTATTAAAATCGATTTTGAAACCTATAAAATACTGAAATAAAATCATTGTTAAATTTTATCTGATACATTTAATCTTTAAAAGTTTAAACAAATATATCTTATTAAATATATTATAAAATTTATGTTACATGTTTTCAAAATTACATTATGTTATGGTTAGTTAATATATAGTATTTTATTATACTTATAGATATATGTAATAACATAATCTATGTATGTTTATGTTAAATTCAAAAAAAAACAAACTATATTTTTAATTTTAGTAATATTCATATTCTAAAGGAAGAAAAAATATATAATATATTTATTTAATTTTAAAATATCATTTTCAATTATAGAATGAATGCAAATTCATTCAAGTTGGAATCTAATTTATATTAAATAATTACTTACAGAATGATATATGGTTTTAATGACAAATTTATGAATAATACATATTATGCTTTTTTTATTCATCTTTAAGATATAATAAAGTTCAAGTATTTTTTTGTCGTAATAGTATTATCTATACATACAGGTATTATATATTTATTTTATATATATGTTATATGTATTAATGACTCAATGTTTTAAATTTAAAAATTTAGAGAAAAATGTTACATATTGGATCTTGTATTTTTATCTTAAAATATTTTTCTTATATAGTTTGCTTCCATAAATTATTAATTTTTAAGAAAACTGATAAGTTCGGTTCCTCACGATTATGTTTATATGAAAAATGTTATAAATGTAAATTTATGTTTGATCTGCAATCCTATTGTCTCAATACTATAATAAGAAGATTAGGCGTATGAATAATGTTATATTCATAACCTCTAAAGTATCCTTTTAAGCATGTAAAGTATCATTTCAAACCTTAATATTGTCTAAAACTCGATTTAGGCGCCCTTTTAAAAACGGCCAAATTAAGATTTTAGCCAAAGAATATTACCTATGTTTCGAGATGGATTTGATCTGCTTTTGATTAATTCCTGGAGCATAAATATTTTTTTGGGGCTAAAATTTTGATTTAGCCATTTTTTAAAAAGCGTTTAAATTTTTAATATATAAAATAAGCTTAGAATGATGCTTTTATTTTGTTTTAATTAAAATTATATGAATCGCCTACCCTATTACTATAAATATATTTTTTCTAAAACACTAACCCTTTTATGATGATGAAAATAACTTAAAAAATTAAAAATATGAAAAACTTACTCGTTGTACAAGAGGTATCTTTGTTTAACTTGGGCCAAGCATATGCCTTTGTCTAGTATTTCGTTATGATTTATAACTAAGTTATGAGCGAATGTTGTTTGAGACCAGCTACCGTGCCATCTCTGAGGAAAGATGCATGACTCTTTATAAAAAATAATTATAAATAGGAGTAAGCGATTAATAGCTTTATGATATTATGAAATTTAAATATTATGGACCGTGTCCTGATTCGCCTTATTCCTAAACAGTCGTCTATTTAGCCGTTTATATAGCTTCCTCTAAACAGCCTAAAAAAAGAAGGAGGCTATTTAGAATTACGTAGATAACCTTTCTTAGTAACTCTTTCCAAAACCAAAATATATATTAAATGTAAACACTTAAAAACCAAAATAGGGTATACTATCTAATTCACAATCTGCTTAGCCCGAGCTAAGCAGAAATATATTTCAAAAATAAGATAAACCCGGACATGGCTTTCTCCCTAACGAAAAACAAAAGAATGAATTAGCAATTTTTTTAAACTATCTTTTTATTTATTTCAGAATCTTAAAAAAGTTTACGCCTCGCCCCTTTTGTCCCCAAACTTAATTAATTTGTGCCTAGTCACGTCATTGAATTATGTCACTATACCTTCCTTTTTTTATAATATTCATTCAATTACCAACTAAAACTAAAAATACATGATATTTATAAATATTAATGGAGAATTATTAAACTCATTATTAAAATACATTGGTGCTAAGACTCCATAAATTATTTTATTTTTTGAGAATCACTAAGGTTATTTAATATGTAGATATATTAAAGTGTTTCTAAAACATTTATTGCACTTATTATAACAAAAAGAAAAATGCAAATTTAGCCATTTTATTTTTATGAACACTCCATAATTAAATTAACTTCTATTTTAAGCAGCTGCCCCCCCCCCTTTAAATATAAAGACCAGTTGTGCCTCTGACAAAATTTTTTATTCTTTCTAAACATTCCCTTTATTAAAAAAAATTATATAGATAAATATTATAATAAAATCCTGGATTAAGAAAAATTATATATTCTGCCACCTTATTCTAAAGAATGGGTATTGAAAAGGGAGTGATTGTCTTACCTCAATTGAAAATTGAAACCAACGTCTCAAATAATGGAACAAGGGAATTTTTTCTCCTTTGTGGCTAAATATTATTACAAAAGGGTTACCTTAACATGAGTTATTTATCTATATGACAAAATTTGATAAAATAAAGCAATAGCAAGAAAATTACCCGTTGCGATAATTGTTTCATTTTTGAGAAAAATACTTTTGAAAATCTAGAAAAATTAAACCAATTATCATTATTAGTTTTAAAAAAGTGCCTTATTTTTAAATAATATAAAAAGTTGGAAGCAATAAATTAACTAAAATCTATAGGATCTCTATGGCTTACCTTAGTAAGGCATTGCCTTAGAGCGGTACAAGGTGGCAAAAAATTGGAGGCGAATTGGTAATTTTTAAAAAAATCAGCTTATTCAATGAGAATGACAAAAATCATGCTGCAAATCTAAAGGCGCATCTCTTTATTATATTTAACTAATCTAAATTCTTGCCTAAGGCCGGTAGATATTTTAGGGATGGCATTGAGCTTATAATTATCATTAGATATGATAATATTGCGTTGCGATATTATTCTTAACACTCCATTCAAGTGAATAATTAAGGATAAAAAAAACTTAAAATTTATGATTAACAAAATCAGTCATTGTGATCAAATAGAAAAATTTATAGTTTAACTAACGATTATCATTATCGATATTTGATATTTAAAATTTTCTTCACATATGTCACACTGTGTGATCAGACAATAATTTTGTTGACGATTTGATTTTACCAAAATAAAATTATATAAAATTTTAACATTAAAATTTATTAATTACTTTAATTTAATGCAACTTACTTAGTAAAGGCATTATTATATAATATACTATACATAATTACGATATATATAGTATATTTGCTTTCTTTGTAATAATTATTTTTAAAAAACTACATTATACATATATACATGATATGTAATATATAATTCTTTTATGTAAATTATACACAAATTTAATTTGAACAAATTCACTTATGTAAATTAAATTTAAGTATGGTACTAAATCTATTATGTTCTATGTATCTATAAGAAATATGATATTTAATTTACATAAATATAATTCAAATATTATTTGTACAATTTTAAATTTCCATAAAATATGAGGGCATTTCTTTGTATATTTTTTTTAATATTAAAAATAATTCAATTTTAAAATATTTTATAATTTTGCCATTTCTCGGGTCAAACCTAGTTTTGTTTTTTTTTCAATTCAAAATTAATATACTAATTGCACCATGTTTTTAAAAATTTTTTTGACAATACTAAATAATTTATGAATTTTGCATTTTTTTAAAATCAAGTTCACGTTCAAGATGATTATATATAAATAACCGATAATATCGTAGTTTTAATTATCTAATAGATTTTTTTTTACAAGGCAGGACTGAAAGACACAAGAACGGTTTAGATCGAAAAAAACACTCTTTCTTTCCTTTTTTTCTTTTTTTCAATCAAAAATGACAAGTATATTTTTTGAGATAAAATATAAAGTTTTCCCTTGTCTTAATTATTACATTACAAGTATTTTGTTCCAAAAGAATAAATAAAATAATCTAACATTATATTTACCTTTTTTTAAAAAAAAAGGATTTTATAATCTGTTAATTTTGTAATAAAATTATTATTCCACCTTTTTTTTCAGAGATAATGGTTTATTTAAAAAGTTTTATAAATTATGTAAATTTTGTGAATATAGTTTGACTTTAAAAAGATTAATATATATTTTTTTTAAATTCCTTGTGTCGGCACAAACAGCTTTTCTTTAGGAAAATGATATAGATATACCTACATTTGATTTATAATTTATATTTTCACTTTTTATTTTAATATATTACATATATTAATTTTATATTTTTTTATAAAAAATGTAAAAAGAAGTAAATATTTTACAACCGCAACTAATAAAAGCCTGTGTTGTTTTAATAAAATTATTATTTTCCTTTTATTTAAATATTAAAAATATTTTTTTTATTATTATGGTTTTTTATATATATACTACTCTACCTGTTTTAAAAGGAATAAATTAACTCATAATTTTTTTTTTATTAAAAGGAAGAAAAGAAACATTTTTTTATATCAACTTTATAATATTTAATATTTATATTAGATGTTTTAAAGATATTACATAATATTTTTTTAAAGTTTTACTTTTATTTTACACTTTTATTTATTTTAGTAATGTATTTAGCACTAATGGACTTGTAAGAATTAAGTTACGAGTAAGGATAAGTATAATATAAACGTAATACTAAATAATATAAATAAAAAATTATAATAAAATAGATATTATAAATGTTGGAACTGATAAACTATATATTTTAATAACTGCTATGTTTTACTTTTACCGAATATTATAACCCTCTCTGTTATATATATAGCACCATTTCTTAAGCAAATTAAAATCCTTAAATGTAAGAAAAGTTTAAATCGAGAAACAATATTAATGATAAAATATAAGGGTCCAGAGATCAAATCGCTAAAAGCTTGAAAAAGTTATAAAATTAAATTTTATAATGAAGATAATAATAATATGCTCCAGGTTGATACTCTTTAAAATATTATTTAAATATTTTTTAATCGAAATATTTATTTAGCACTTAATAAGGGCTAAGTGATCAAATATAAAAAGAAATATAATATCATTGTTTGCAATTTTATCTCTCAAGATTCGATTCAATTATAGTTTAATTTTTGAGGTGTCTCCTAGATTAATAAGAGCTTATTATATTATAAAAGCTATAAGAGTCACCTCCCGCCTTTTTTGAAGCTTGCTTAAAAATAAAAACCTCTTATAATGCAATATATACCTTGATTTTCTTTATTTTTCAGAAAAATTCAAGCTGCCTTTCATTTATTTTTATATTATATTAAAAATAGGAATTTATTAAAGTAATCCCTTTATTTTTGTAACTTATATGGAATTAATTAAATTAAGAATTTGAATAAAATGCTTGATGTCCAAATAAATTTTTAGTTATCAAAAGAAATTGCAATTTAATTTAATTTAAAAAAAAAATGTGTGTTAAATAAATAGAGAGTCATACTAATTGTTTGAACTTTATCTTTATATAATAATAAGATAAAATCATATTTTGTCACGTTTTTTTTGTCTTCCAAAAGGAACATTATATTTTATCTCAATTTCATCCAAAATCATTAAATTTCATTCGTGAAAATAGATTATTTTTTGTCAAACAGTTTCTACATTTGGCAGGTGAGATGCGAAACTGATTATTTTTTTGAAAGCAATTATAACTTAATAAAAATGATTTTGACTTTACCAAAATGAATTTCAATTTTTAAAAAAAATATATTATAAGACCTATTTGACTCCTTCTTTTACTTAATGCGTTATCACGTTTATTTATCAAAAATATTTATTTTTTTTAGCTTTTTGTAACTATGTTTGGAAAATTTCATTTTTTTAAGATAAAATATTTGTTATATGATTTAGGGTAATTTTTTTAAAAAAAGATAAACATAATTAAGTTATTCATTATATATATTTTTTTATATTGTATTCAAAACAATTGTGACAAATTTAATTGAAATGTTTAAGACACCTTTTTAACGAAACTAAAAGGGTGCATGAGACGTCAATGTTTAAATTGTTAGTAAGTAAAACGATTACTCTATAGCAGCTATTACATCATGGCCTTATAAGTTTATTTAGAAAACGGCATTAAATCAGGAAAGGATAATCTAACCATTTTATTAGTAAAAAGAATAGAATTTTTAAAATATTAAAATAATTGATTAGGAATATAAAAATTATATGTAAATAATAATTCTATAATTTTTTTTTAGTAATATCGTTAGATTTCTCAAAATTGTAACATTTTCATTAAGCTGATATTAATGTTGTTAAACGGCTCGATTTTTAAAAAGGCTAACTCAATATTTTAGATGAAAAAAATATTGCATACGCTTAGGCAATTCTCTAATAGATGTCCAAACATTTGTGCCTTCTATGGCTAAAATTTTTAGGCTTGCGTAATATTTTTCTGGGTAAAAA